CTGGAAGTGTGGAGAGACCGTTGGGAATTACTACCACATGTGGTGGCAATGCCCAAAGGCACAAAAATTTTGGAACTTATTAAAGAAATGGCTGGAAGAAATTTTGCTAATAGATATAGAGGCCAAACCGGAATTTTTTTTATTGGGAATTATAGAAAGAAAATATAAGAAAGATACAAATTATTTACTACTGCATATATAGTAACAGCGGCACAAATAGCCTTCACTCAAAAATGGAAAGAGAAAGATACTCCAACCGAAGAGGAAATATTACTGAAAATTTTCAATTGTGCTGAAATGGATAGACTTACATGGGAACTCAAGAATAAAAGTGAAACTAAGTACTACAAAATCTGGGAACAATTTTATGATTGGATAGACAATAAGAGGGTAGCCAAGACAAATGTATAGTGTTAGAATAAAATATAGATTATATTTTATTATATTATATTTAAAAGATAAATAGATATACAGAAATAAGGGGAAAAGTGTTAATATATTATAAATAGTGAGCAAAGCTCAAGAACTATATGTCTATATGAGTACTAATACTATTGTAAAATGTCAGAAGATGTATGGAACCAGTGACATCTATGTCCAATGTGTTTTTAATTTTGTATTATTAATAAAAATGTATATTAAAAAAAGAGATTGTGTTAAATACCCCATACAAGACTAGGCAGAGCAAATTAATTCTACAAGCACATAATTTTCTTTCTTCAGATATAAAAGAACTACACATTCGGTAGTGCTTATTCTGTTCCACAATTCTTTTTCCAAACCGTTCCAGCTTTCACCTTTTAAAGCGTCTTTTCAGCCAGCATAACCTGAGTCCTTTTTGCTCAAAGCCTGAATTAGGTAGAGGGTACATGCAGTCAATCCAGCTCAAGTATCTCACGCACAATTAAACCATTCTCTCAGAGAAGCACCAAACTGCTAACCTCCTAATAACTTCCATTTGTTACTTGCTCGGAAAGCTTCCATCCATTTAACTTCATCTGGCCGTTCATCGATAAATTCAGCCACCTGGAAACAACAGATAAGACAGGCCTGTTTTTCTACACAGCTAAAAGCCCTCCTACCAAACAACCGGTTAAACAATTCCCTGAAGATCGGCCCCAGCAGGAGTCCAAAAGCTCGGAAGGCAAAAATCTCTGGTCCCGGTGACCGAGCCAGACTGGATCCTGCAACAACCAGTTAAACCGTTTCCACTCAATGGGGGGTGCTTGTCTGATAGCTTTGGTTCGACATTTGACCGGGCTACATAAACCAGAGTTGTAGCCACTCGCACTGCAGGCAACGGGCGAGGCTCCGGCCGCCTCGCTACTCACCACTGGCCGGTCACTCTCGTCCCCCTCCTCCTCCTCGGCCTCCCCCTCCTCGGCAGGCCGGCTCTTCCAGCTCACGTCGTCGTCATCCACGATGCGCATCCTGCGGGCGGGAGAAAGAGCGCCTTCAGCACCGGCTCAGCCTCGTTCCTAAGCGCGCTGCCCTCGCAAGCAGGAACCCGCGCGGGAGGAGAAGGCCCAGACCGGCCCGCCTTCGCCCCGGCTGGATCCTCGCAGTTCAACCAAAGGGACTCTCGCCGGAGCCTGCCTCCAGACGGCCCCAGCTGCCCCTTGAGGGAGGCGGCCAAGGGAGACCGACCCCCCCCCGGGCTTCTCGACTCTTCGCGGCGCCCACGCGCCACACCAGGACCCCCAGGCGCGGGGAGAAGCCCGCCGACCTCGCGGGACGCGAAGCAGCGGCTGGCCCAGGCCCGGGGGCGCCCGGGAATACCGGAGGTCCTCAAGGCCAAAATCACTCACCGGCCCGCCGCCCTCTTCTTCCGCCGCCGCTTCTTGCCCGCCTCGGCATCGCCGACCTCCAGGTAGCGCCGCCGCAAGTATTCGGCCTTTGAGAGGCTGGAGGCCGCCGCCATCTTCTCTTCGAGACCCGGAAGCAGAAGGGCAACCGTCGAGCGAAGCCTCGGAGGAAACGGCCCCTCTCTGTGGCCGTCTCCGGCGCACAAGGTCGCCCTCTGGCGGCGCCCGTGGCTGCCATCAACGCCCTCCGCATCCGGGGAGGAGGATGTTAATTTGACTGTTGCGAGTTGCTCACCGGGAGTGACGGGCAGGCTTAATTATGACTGTTGTTGCCAGTGAGTTGGCAAGATGCCCTCTGCAAGAGAGCTCAGTCTGCCTCTCAAGATGCCAGCAGAAGCTGAAAGGCAGCTCCCCCACGGCCCAACGTCTGACCGCCCCCTCCCCAGGCCCTGCTTCCTCACCCATCTCTGCCCCAGAGGGGCCAGTTCCAATTTCCCACCTTTATGGCAGCTGGCCTTCTTGAACAGGGAGCAAAGAATACAAGCCAGACCTGCAGCACAGCCCCAGAAAGCAGTAACCCTCCCACCATGTTGACCACCGAACTCCAAACCGTTTTAGCGATCCAAACGTGTTGCTTTGCTTGAAATTGGTGGAGCTGCTCCTTTCATCTATGTCATGAACCAGAGCCAGCTTTGGGGTTCACCCACATCCTCTAAGTTGCTCGGGAAGGGCAACCTGCAGGATGATTCGCTATGGGGGTATGCTCTCCGTCTATTGTTCCAGGGCCTTGGGTTCTGAGGGATTACAGATTGGCATCGGAGAGCTTTTGCTTACTGATCTGTTGCTTTTCTTGGTTAGGTATAATTTTTATTATTCCAGTTTTCACTTTAAGGGCCCAGAATCTCTGCAGAAAGGCCAAGCCAGGACATTGCCAACCTCTTGTGTTGCTGGGCTCCCAGTTGCTACAACCCCTGAATCCATCACTCGCACCAGCAGGGCCCAGGAGAGTTGTAGGAAATTATCAGCATGGCTATTGATAGTACAAGGGCGGCTTGCAAACTCTGAAATAGAAGGGTCGTGTAATTGCCCCCTTGGGCTCAAGATTTCCCCAGGAAAGTAGCAGGAAGCCAGAAGTCACCCTCCAGCTTCACTTTAAGACAAGGATACCGACTTCCCAGCTTCAGTTTTAATAGAGTCCAGCCAGCCTGACTTCTATGTGTGGGGCAGAGTCAGTCTTGACAACAAGCAATTTCTTGCCAAAGAAAAGCGGTCGACAAAAGCTTGAAACCCAACAGTCTAGTACTTTCCACACAGTGCCTTGCATGTCAACTTGGCTACTGAGGGGAAGACAAATCTGCCTGGTAGCCCTCTGTTCTCATGTCATTCAGGCCCAGCTCCTCATTCTGTTCGAAGCGCCGCTCGTATCGCTCCACATGCAACTCCGGGTCTTCTTCAGGAGCATAGAGATTCTGGAAGTGCAAAGGGGCTGCATCAAAAAAGACTACAAGGCAGCAGGCTGTGTACAATAAATCCCTGGGGTTTGCAATCTTTTGTCCAAATCCAGTACGATTCCTTTTAGGAACAGGATTGGGTTTATAAAAAGCCAAAATGAAAAGTGCTAAGAATCATCTACACCATTATTTAAAATATGCACAACACCCCCCTCATGCATCTTCCCTGGAAACACCAAGGTCAGCCTTCCCCAACACAACATTGGCCAAACTGCCCTGCTGGCATATCCAAAAATGCCAGAACAATAAAGGTGACCCTCACAACCCGGCAGTTCAACAATGGAGGCCAGAGAGGGTAGACATCTTGCCCACAGGGACATTCCATAGCAGAGGATGCTTGGAAACCCCACAGCCAGGTATAAACATACAGTATGTTTGCCCTTCATTGAGCCATTACAGGAAACACAAAACAGTTTCAATAACAAACAGTTGCCCACAAAAGAGTTACCCAATACCTCTTCTAAAACTGATGGTCCTTTCCCTCTTCCTCCCATGTTATTTGCATTGATTTGCATTACCTGAACGTAACTGTTTCCTGCAGGGTCATCCAGCACAAGATGTACCTTCATCTGCCCATCTACAATCTGGCAGAAAAAGAAAAGGGAAAACATCACCCGCCCAATGCAAGGCTCACCATCCCTCCTGCAGTGGACCTGCACCTGAGGCTGCTCATGGGGGGCAAAGACGGCCTACCTGCTGGAGCTTCCTCCCAAAGGCGCGCAGCTTGTCTGCTTTCTCGGGGCAAGAGCTGTCCCCCAGAGTGAAAGGGTTCTTCTCCACCTGCAGGAGACGCGGCTCGGGGTTAGGCCCAACGCGGGGAGAACGCCTTCAGGTCCCACTCCCCCAGACCACCCTAAGGCATCCCCTCTCTGATCAACAGGCCAAGCTTCCCAAGATCACCCTTGGAGACCCGGCTGTCAGCTCTCTGCCTTCTGCCCAGATGCCACAAGTCAAGAGGCAGGAGCAGCTCAGCCCAAGGTCAAGGCTTCTGTGCTCACTGCTGTTTCAGCTAATCTCCAGTTCCTTCCTTTTAAGAAATGTAATATGGGATAGGCCTCCAGTTATCGCTCACTCACCACAGCCTGGATATCCTTCAGCAACCCTTCAAGAGTGGTGAATTTTCCACCCAGACCTCCCATTCCTAACTCAAACTCCAACTCTGGGATCTGTATCATGCACGTTTCTGACTGCAAAAAAAGAGAACTTCATTTATTTCTGGGAGTGACTGGCTGCAGCTGTTTACAATAAGTGCAAATGTCAGAACTGATGGAAAAGAGCATCACCTTCAGGACATCCCTTGTCATGTCTGCAGGACCCGTCACATGAAGGGTTATCTTGGTACCCAAAGGCTCAATACCTCCCCCGGATTTCACCTAAGGCAATAAAGGGGGAAGGGGGTGTCAAGCAGTAACAGGGAGTAGAGCCCTTGGTGACCCGCCTTCCAGAACGAAAAGACTGACCTCGTTTGTTCTGTGCCCACAGGCATCGCAGTTTGTAGCCATGATGATGACTTCCTTGAAATGGGGAATCTCTGAGGAGAAGCAGTAAAGAAAAACTCCACCGCGCCGACCCAGCAGCCTCACTCCCCAGCCCTCTTGCTCTACACCCCAGGCCTTGCTTGGTGGGAGAGGAGGAGCCCGGTCAGCTCCTTCTGCCCTCCAGGAGCCAGTGCCCACACCAGGGGCCCCGTCACAGGACTACTGCATGCAGGCAAGCAACGTCTCAAAGGATACGCACCAGCTTCATGTTTGTGCTGGCGGGAGCGTTGCATTCGGGACAGTTGGTGCTGAACTGCAGTACCTGGTAGGAGAGAAGCCACACTGAGACGTCTCCGCTCCTGACCAGACAGGCGCCGGTCCAAAGGGGGACTCAGCCACCCAACTGCCAGCCCCTTCACCACCCGCTCACCTCGTTCCTCAGATCATCTGCAGAATCAGCGGAATCCTCCTCCAAGCCCTCTTCCTGGGGGGGGGAACAGAGGGGTCCACAAGGGTTCAGCATGCAGGCTGTCAGGGCTTGCAACAGAGTTTAGAGGCCACAGGAACAGCGTGGGGCTGCACCCACGCAAGACCTTTCCAAGCCCTCTCCGTTACCTCTATTCCAAGCAGAGCTGCTTGCTGGGCTGTCCTCCTGTAATGGGTGACCTCTAGAGCGTCATCCTTCTGTGGGGCGTGAGGGTTCTCCACAAAGCTGTTTCCTGAAGGATCATCGAGAATCTGGAGGGGGAAAGAGGTGCCACCAAAATCATTCTTTTGCCAGGATTAACAATGCCTGCAGGCAGAAGCTCCTCTCAGCACCCCACAGTAACTTACAAAAGTGAAAGTTGACTCCACTTCCTTCAGGCCTTTCAGCTTAGAGATGAATTCATCAATCTTTCCTGCCATTTCAGTGTCCATTTTCTATGGCCCAGAAATAGAAACCACTGACTTGATTTCCCAGTGGAAGCAGCACACAAAGACACGGGAGCTTCTAGAGTCCAAGCTGGGACTGTTCCTCTAGAAAGGCAACTCTGCAGTAAGAACCCTAAGCCACCAGTCAAAACCGCCAGGGCTTGTTCATTTTCTGGACTGGCTACATGCTGTACCCACCAAATTAAGACAAGGCAGGCCCTGGCACACAAGCAATTTCACTGTGAAATATTTAAGGGTGCCACAAAACTCCTTGGAATTCCTCCCAGGTGAAGCTATCAGAATTGCAGCCAGCCATGTGAAAACAGGCAGATGACAATCCTGTCCTGTTTCACTTCCCGAGGGGGGCTTCAAACACCAATAATTTACTAATGAACAGGAGATCTAGCTAGAACAGCCACCAGTTTTTTTCCCCAGATGGCAGGAAGCCTATCTGCAATTAACACAGCCAAATGCCAAGCTAGAATGTTGCCCCGTGTGAGGGAAGCGCCCCCCCTCCCAGATTCTTTCAAGCAGCTTACTCTGCGCTCGGGCTGATCCTGCTCCAGTCCTGCTATGGCTCTGTCAAGGATCCCTTCCAGGGTTGTAAGAACTGGTGGGAGGGAAAGGGGGAAAACACTGCCATGATTACTCCATGCTTCCAATCACAAGTTTCTTCCACCCAGAAAAGGAAAATAACTATCCTATTAAAAAACAAACACAAACTAATAATATGGCATCCTGCCAACCACCAGATCCTCTGGAGGAAGCCAGTGGTCAGAAAGAAAAGGCTGTGGCTTCTGTCCCTCAAAAGGTGGCAACACACACACCAGGCGCTCTCAAGCCCCCTCCCCCTTGTACCCTAATTCCAGTCGGCCTGGAGAAACGGCAGCAGATGGCCTGAGCTCAGCCACACAGATTAAAGCCGCACTTTCTTGGAGCCAAAAAGGAACCCAGCTTGCAAAGAAGCCAACGCTCCCCTCCTCAGACCCAAAGAAAGCTAGCTGGGGGACCAAAGCACCTGCTTACGGGAATCGCCCTGCAGCAGAGACCCCTGGCAGCTCTGCCCTGCCCGGCCCGGCCCTCCCCCTCCCGGTGCTCTCCCGTGTCCCCCTGCCCCAAGACGGGCCAGAAGAGGGCCTGGCACCCACCTCCCTTCTGAGAGAAAGCCGGGATTTCAAAGTCCAGCTCTGGCACCCTGGCAGTGGCGCCGTCTGTCTTCACCACGGCCCTGTTCAAGTCCTGGAGAGAAGCGGGTCAGCAGAGGCTGCTCTGCCCCAGGAGGACCCAGCCAGAAGCCCCGGGCAGCCCCCAGGCCTCCTCCGTCCACAGCCCCCCCTTCGAAGGCTCTGCCCGAGGCCCGCCCTTCCCCTTTGGGGGGGGAGAAGGGGGGGTCGCCTTGGGCGCGGCCGCAGGACACAGGAGGCCCGGGGGCGTGGCCAGGGCGTCCCCGCCCCGCAGCGAGCCCACCTGCCGGCTCCTCACGGCCAGCGCGTAGCGCACCCCCCGCGCCTGGATGCGCCCGGCCGACTGGACCTCCGCGTTGCTCCAGCCGCAGCTGCCGCAGGCGAAGGAGCCCACGATGACCTCCCGGAAGAAGGGGATGCGGGTCAGCAGCAGCCGCGTCACGCCCTGCGGGGAGGGAGGGAGGGGTTGAGGCCCGGCCGGGCTGCCCCGCGCGGCAGGCGGGACCCCCCCGGGACCCCCGGGCAGCGCCGCCCCGCCCCGCCCCGCCCCGCCCGCCCTCACCCGGCGGAAGCAACCCATGCACAGCGACTCCAGCTCGGTCGGCAGCTGCTCCTCGTCGTCGGCGCTCAGCGGGCGGAAGAACCCCACGGCGGCCCCCGCCGGCTCCCGGCCCACCGCCGCCATGCCGCCCGGACCCTCCGCGCCGGCTTCCGCTTCCGGCGGAAGAAGAACGCTGGTGACGTCACTCGCCCCCCCCTCGCGCCCTGCTGACCTGGCTGCGAGCGTCAAGAGGCGGCCCGCAGGTGCCGCTCCCTTCCTCACCGGGGGGGGGGCTGCGTGTCGGGGTCGCCCGGGGACTCCTATGCGGAATGACAGTGACCGAGTTGGAAAGGGGGACCTTGGAGGTCTTCTAGTCCAACCCCCTGCCTGAGCAACAGACCGTACAGAATTTCAGACAAGCGGCTGTCCGGTCTCTTCTTGAAAAGCCTGCAGTGATGAAGCCCCCGCAGCCTCTAGTGGCCAGCTGTTCCGCCGGCTGATTGCTCTCTCTGCCAGGAAGTTCCTCCCCCGTGCTAAATTGCTTCTCTCCTTGCTTACTTTTCCTCCGTTGTTCCCTGTCGGGCCTTCGGGTGCTTGGAGAATAGGCTGACACGCACAGCCCTCCTTTGTGGCGGCCCCAGAGATATTGGAAGGCTGCTCTGGTGTCGCGCCCAGCCCTTCTCTTCCTTAAACCGGACATACCCATTCCTGCAGCCGTCCTTCCTATGTTTCAGGGGGCCCCCCCGACCCTCTTTGTGGCTCTCCCTGCCATCCTTCCAGAGTCCCAGCATCTTTTTTATAACCCGGTGACCAAAACCGGACACAGCATTCCAGCTGGGGTCTTTCCAAGGCCTTATCAATCAGCAGGGGCCCTTCACGTGATCCCTGAGGCAAGGCGGGAAGCCAGTGAGAGAGGCGGGGGTCCAGGCGAGACGCCCGCTGGGAAAGGGCCAGGCAGTGGGAAGCCCGCTCCCTCGGGCAGGCCCACCGGTTCGAGGCCGCTGCCATCCGTGGGGCCGGGGGGCCGCTGCATGCACGACCTGCGGTGGGACCTTGGTGCCCCTTCCTGGGTGGGGGTCTCTGCCCATAGCCACGTGCGGCCCTGTCGCCCCCAGATTGGGCTGCTGCCATGTGGTTGTGCCATCGGGCTGCTGTTATTTAGCTCTGCTGCTTTTCTCAGCCTCTTGTTTTTTCTTTAAAATGTTTTAAAATGTTTATTAATATTTTATAATGTTTTATTGTGTGTGCCACCTCAAGTCACAAAAGCGTGGGATGGGCAGCCCTGTGCAGTTGAGGAATAAATAAAACCTGATGGAGAGCCCCTTCCCCCAGCACCCCTCCCTGCTTGCCCTCCTGGCTCCCCCCCCCCATCGCAAGAGACAGAGCCTGGAGGGTGGCTGAGCAGTTCTTTTATTTCAAGCACAAAGTCTTGGGGTCTCCTGGAAGAGCTGCAGGGCTCCCCTCTCTCATGCTTCCTCCGGGGTGAGAAGTAGGCGCTCCTCAGTCTCCCGGAGGCTGTCTGTGAAGGCGATGATCTGCTCCCTGACTTCCTTCTCCAAGAAGCTCAGGTGGTCCTCCACCCCGCTAGCAGGGTCTTGCAACCTCTGGCCCAGCTGCTGCACTTTTCCCACCACCAGCTGGTTGAAGCTGTCCCCGAAAGACCCCACTTGCTGGCGGAACTCCTCAATCTGCTGCCCAGCATCTTCCTTCAGGCTGTCCAGGCGGGACACCAGGTCTCCCTGCAGAAGCCCGTCGAGCCGTCCCTGCAGCCGCTCAGCTTCTTCCTGGATCTTGTCCCGCAGGGCCTCCGCGCTCCTCGCCACCCGGAAGGAGAGCTCTTCCAGCTGCCGCCTCAGCTGCTCCGGCGTGGTCTGGGCGTAGGGGGAGAGGCGCTTGTGCAGCTCCTCCACCGCCTGGTCCACCTTGGCCTTTACCTCTGCAGGAAAATGGCCCAGCTGCACCTTGATGTCTTCCATCTGCTGGTTGACGGTCTGCTGAAGCCTCTGGACGTAGGGGGAGAGGGTGGCTGGGTCCCCCACATTCTCCTTCAGCTGGGCCTGCAGCTCTTGCACCAAGGACGCCAGTTGCTGGCTGATCTGGGTGGCCAGGATGTCTGTTGTTGCTTGCAGCTCCTCGGCGTGGGAGGCCAGCTGGACTTTCAGGTTCTGGGCAATTGTGGTCACCTGGTTCTGGACATCTGCTGAGAAGGGACGGATATCCGTCTGCAGCTGCTCCAGCTCTGTCTTGATCCTCTCCTTTATCTTTTCCCCTTCTTCGCTTAGCTGGGCCAGCAGCTGTGTGATGTACAGGGGCATCTTTTTCTGCATTTGCTTGGAGTAGGTGTTCATGGCCTGGAGGTTGTCCTGGATCAGGACCCTGGGAGAAAATGGGAGGGAGATTACGTCTCATCCCTTTTTGCCTGATCCTCTCCTACTACAGCCGCACCTCCACAAGTGGGCCTCCCCCATCTTAGCGCAGGAGAACCTCCTGGCTCCTTTGAAATGGCTTTAAGCCTAGGCTTTATTGGCAACTCACGTGAACTGCTTGCTGATGTCCGACTGCTGGGCCTGTCTCAGGGTCTCCTCGACATTGCTGCTCAGCTGGGTGAAGTACTGCCAGACCAAGTCAGTAAGCTGTTGGGGGGTGGGACTGTCTTGGGCCCCTACAGGGAATGAGGAGAAAAAGGAGAATGAGGGGCAAAACCAAGGATGCATTTTTTCTGCAGCACCCCATCTCTGTCTGCAGATCTGAGCCACGCAGCATCTCTGGATGTCTTCAGCCCAACCTCTCCCTACTTCTTGGAGGCAGCCAATTAGCAGAAACACCCCAGCCCGAGAAAGCCCGAGGAAGGGTGGAGGAACTAAGGCTGTGTGCAATTAAAAGTTGGAGATGACGAGATCCTGATACCTGTGGTGGCAACCAAGAGTCCGAGGAGGAAAGCAGCTGCCTTCAGAGACATGGCAGATGGCAGGAAACGGCACACAAAGCCTTGTCAGCAACAGACCTGTGGAGAAGAGGCAGAGGTGACCCCTCCTCATGGCAGCCCTTTGCCCTGGGACTGTGCTCTGCGTTGGCTCCAGTCCTGCAGCATCACCTCAACAAGGATTTTGGGCTCCCCCAGGCCAAGGCAAAGGAAGCCAGGAGCTTCCCCCCAGGGGGGAACCAGATGCCTCTCAAGCTGGCGTGAGGCAAAGGCAACGGCAGCCTCACCCAGCCCACTTCTTGCCTGATAAAGCACCCAGGGCTGCCCATTCCCACAAAGAAGCCCAAGTGCACAGCCTGCCCAGCCCAGCCCAGCCATCCCCCTCGGCCTCCATTTGCAGCCAGGGCTCACCTTCTGCAGGAGAGGCTTCTTCTGCTCTGCAGCTCTGCCTGGGGAGCGTCTCTGTATTTATATTCCTGGGATGGCATCTTCTTGCATCCACGCAGGCTGATGACACCTCCTTGAGCTCTTGGACTTTAGCAGGAATGTGACGTGGAGGCCTGCATGGCCACAAGGTTGCCGGTTATCTGCAGCTCCACAGGAGAGTCCTTGCACGGTGCCCAGCCTCTGCCAGCAGGGAGAAGACAGCACATCCCTGGCCAGGTCTAAGGTGGGGAGAGCAGGAAATGAGCAAAATGTAATATTATAATAACAATAAAATAAGAGGTCAGGAATGGGAGCAACCTGATAGGGGAGAAGGCTGCTCAACAGGAATCTCTCCTGAAACCCCCAGACCTGGAGGCCCTTTTGCCTGGAGGGGGGGCAGGCCAGGAGTCTTCAGTGGGAATGGATAATCTGAGCTATTTTCACACACCCCTCACCCCCATTTGCATTAGCAAAAGAGCTTAGCCACAAAGATTATGTGGCTGTCCTGAGCCTCCTGTGGTCCCTCTGGAAAAACACATTAGACCCCTTGCCAGGCTGCAGCTGGGAGGTCCTGGCCCTCTGGCCAAGGTCTGGTGGGCTGGCTTTCCTTAGACCAGGGGTGTCAAACTCAATTTCATTGAGGGCCGCATCAGCATTGCGGTTGTCCTCGGGGGGGGGTAGATGTGGCCAGGGTGGGCGCGGCCAACTGGGTGGGCATGGGTGGAGTGTGGCCTACTGGGTGGGCATGGCCAGCTCTATTTCGCATCAAGGGTGACTGTGGGGGCCTGGGCAGGAGTGGGACGGATCTGAGGGTCTCAGGCAGAAGGGGGTGGGACTAGGGCAAGCGCCAAGGCATGGTCCACTGGAAGAGCCTGCTGAAACCCCTCCCCTGGAGCCCATCAAGCCAGATATGGGAAGTAGGCAAGGGCCATTTGTTGGCCACTTCCAGGCGATGGTCCATTTCTTCATTCCTCACAAAGGGTGACACCTCCCCAGTATGCACCCAGGAGGCAGGGCAGACGCAGCAGGGGCTGGTTCCTCGCTGTTTCCAGATGGCCTTGTGGAGCTAAGACTGAATGCGTTTCAGCATAGATGGCCACCACAAAATTGTACATTGGCTTCCAGCCGGCCTGGGCCAGGGCCAAGGCAGCAGGGGCCGTTCCCTCACTGTTTCCAGGATGGCTTCGTGGGCCACATGAAACGTCGCAGGCCGCATCCGGCCCCCGGGCCTTGTGTTTGACATGTCTGCCTTAGACTCAGCATGGAATTAAAGGGTCATCCCAGGATGTCATCCTACCTGCACTCAAGGCTTCCAAACTACAACATCCCACAGCACACTCCACACGGCTGAACCCACGGGTGTCTGGTACACTAGTGGACCCCACCCCTTGGCCCTATCACCTTCCGTAGAACAGGGCTTTTCAACCAGTGGTACGGGTACCACTTGTGGTACATTGGCACCTGGCAGGTGGTACGCGACCATCCTAAAAAAGTGGTAGCAGGGGAGGGGAATGAGCTGAACCGGTGGCAGCACCACACAAGCCTGAGCGAGAGATGGCTGGAGCTGCAGGGCTGTCAGGGCTCAGCGGAAGCGCCAGGATCAGTGCCAGACTCCAGCTGGAGCTCAGAGCTGATCCTGGTGCTTCTGCTGAGCCTGAAGAAGCACCAATCAGCTGGAAAGCGGCACTGATCCTGGCAGTTCTGCTGAGCCCATAAGAAGCGCCAATCAGCTGGAATGTTGCAGTATCTCCAGGGTCTTGTGATTTACATTCAGATGCTTGGCAACGGATTCATATTTATGACGGTCACAGTGTCCCAGGGTCATGTGAAGTGACCAAAACCTGCTGCAACCACCCAGCAGACGGGGGGAACCAAACACCCCCACCCCACCCCCACTGCCAATCCTCAACAGAAATGCTCACAACAATGAAAACCTCGGACAGGAGGAAGAGCGTGGCCGGGTGGGCAGGCAGGTGTCTTGCTCAGCTGTGGCTTGGGGGGCACTTTTTTCAGTGCCATTGTAACTTTGAACAGTCACTAAGCGAACTGTTGTAAGTCAAGGACTACCTGTACTTTTATCACTTTTTTCCTTTTTTTGGGGGGGGGGGTCATCAAGTTTTTGACACCTTGTTAGGCGACTGGTGGTACTCGGATGTTGCCATATCCTAAAAGTGGTACAATGGGTGAAAAGGTTGAAAAGCCCTGCCGTAGAAGAGTGGAAAATCACAACTTCATTGGGGGGCTCTGGCCAGCAGGTGGCAGTAGAGGGAGAGTCCAGAATCGGTGAAGGAATTCCAAGGCCCCCGCCCTGCCAAGAGGGCCCAGGAGGGGGAGGCCCCAAAGCAACGGAGCAGGCAGGAGGTCCAGCAAAGCCTTCGGAGCAAGCAGCCTCTGCCCAGAGAGGCCAAAGGGACACTGGGACCCTCATCTTCCGGGACATTGGATGGCTTTGTGTCTGCCGGAAGCCACTTGGGGTTCAGCACACATGAATACGAAGTGAGACCCGCACCCCGTGCCAGTTGCATTGTTTCCCTTTTCAGATTTGATGCCTTTCAGTTTCATCATGGGACTCTGTTTACACAACCCATAGAACTGTGATCCACCGGCCGTGGCACGTTCTGTGAACTTGGCTCGGTGGCTCATTAGTCTGTGGATTAGAACAGATTAGACGGCATCTTTCAAAGTGAGCTTTTCTCAGGTGTGAAGAGCCCCCAAATCAGGACTGGACACACTCTGGGTCTGCCCTGTGAAGCTGCCGGGAGCTCTAGGGCAACACGGCTAGAATTTGGCCAGAAGCAAAGGGATCACAAACCTTCCTCTTTTGCACCATCTCTCCTTGGCAGAGGGAAAAAGACCCTTCCGGTTTACAGAACACAACACAATCTGATGACAGCCACCCCAGAAAAATCTAAATGGGTGAAGGCTTCCTCCAGAGACAGTGTCCTTTATGGTGCCTATGCAATCAACAAAAGATTCTTTCGAACACTTGTGCAAATTATTATGTGGGGTTTTGTGGCCAGCATGAATATCACATAAGCAGAAGGTCTGGCTGTTTTACCCATTTGGGGCCCTAATGCACCCCATTTTCAGTAGGTTAAAAGCTTCGCTCCCAAATCCTGCCGGTCAAATGGTGCTAGTGATGCTTTCCAATGGAATGTGAGAAAGTCCTGGTTGGGGAAATAATAAATTGGCTCTCGTCCAGGTCAGGATGAAGGCAGAAGAGGCCATGTAGGCAATCAAAAGCTGACTTTCCAAAATCCTCCCAGATGCCTCTCTTCCCACCTGTTCCCGTCTGGCTTTGCTGAGATGGAGGCTTGTCTTTGCAAGCTTCCACCCAGGTTCTGCATGCCAGGCCCACAACTATAATGTCAACATTTTGGCCACTTGCTATCCTTGTCAAAGTCTGGGCCTCATCAGCGTCCTGGCACAGAGTCCAAGAGAATCAATATTGCATTTGTCTGTCAAAGCAGACCGCTAACCAAAGGGGATCTCTTGGGTGATGCTTCTTGAAACTGGACAGAGATCAGGTCTAGAGACTAAGGTGCCCCTCTGCTCTTGCCTCTGAGCATGTGCAGGGTGCCCCCCTCCACCTTGATTGAAACAGGCAGCACAGAGACACACACTGGATTTGAAGGCCTCTCCTGGGGTGTAGAAATAAACTAGTTTGTTTAACTGACCCCTGGCTGGCCTGGCTGCGTTATCTGGAGGTCACAGTCCAAGGCAGGCAGGGCTGTTGTGCAGGATGAAGTGGCAGCGGCCAGCAACAGCCCAGAGGGTTCAAAGATGATCCCGTTGGTGCTGAGAGGCCACAGGTTGCTGGAGTGTATTGGATTGTGTGGGAGCCCTGAAGAACCTGTGGAAAGAAACAGCCTCCAACACAATCTTGGCCAGGAGCCATGGCTGCCCTTGCCAGGAAAGACCCAAGGCCGAGAAAAGAGCTGGATCCTCTGGCTTCTTTTGGGAAGCCATCCTGGGCATCAAAAGAGACCCTGACTTTGCAGACCCCCCCCTCAATCTGGGCTGATCCCCCCCCCTCCAAGATGACAGTCTCCCTCCAGAGGCATATGCTAGCTGGATGGGTTTGGATCCCATGTTTTTGCACCCTGATTTCCAAAGTCTCCCCAAAAGAAGAGCTGGCACAGAAACAGGCCAGCCTGGTCACCGCAAGGACACCGATTGCCCAGCTGCCCAATTTAAGCCCCTTTGGGGGAGGGGCAGATTTACTGACAAACCCCCCCCCCCAATGCTTCTGAAGAGAGACTCCAAACAAGCCTTGGGATCCTCGCCACAGGCTGCCAACTGATTGCAAAGCCCGAATCAGGAGATGGTAGTAGAGAGGGCACCTCCCGCCCTGACCCCAGAAAATCAGCAGGTGCCCCAGGAGCAACAGGAAACAACTCTGGGGCGCCCAGCCCCACTGACGCAGGCGGGGGAAGGGCTCCCCGTCCCAGGGGGTCTGCATTTCTTCCACATCATTGGGGTGACATTTCCCTGGGTTTCCATGTTGGGCTCCACGTGCCCCGTCCAGCCAAGAGGAGAAAGTGGCACGGAGCCAGGCCCCACCGAGCCCACCCCAGGGCCAGGGCCAGGGCCAGGCTCCGAGCGGGCTGCTCGGGGAGGGGCCCTGCCGGAGCCGCAGCCGCGGTCCAGGGCCGAGCACCGGTGCGAGGCCAGCGGGCGAATTTCCCAACCTTTGCAGAAGCGACCGCAGGGCAAACACGGCAAAGGGGGGACGGAGGGACGGAGCCCCCTGCCCTGGCCCGGCGCCTCCCAAAAGCCTCCCCGGCGGAACTTTGACCGCGCAGCCCCGGGGGGCCAGCCGGGGGGGGGAGGAGGGCTATAAACAGGGAGCGGCGGCCGCCCGTCCTGCAGTCTGGACAGCCGCTCGAGGAAGCCCAGCCAGAAGGTGAGAACCGGGCCAAGGAGCGCAGCCTCCCCTCCTCGGCCGTCCGGCTCAACGGCCCGCGGCAGGCGGCCCTGCGCCTCTCCGCGTTTCCCAGGCGGGTCCCGCGGGGCCGGCGAGCGGCGGGCCGGGGAGAGTCGCAGTCGCGTCTCCCTCGGGAGATCCGCGCCAGGCTGACTCCCGCAGTTCCCCCCCCCCCGGGCGGCTGTTTCGGGGTTGAAAGGGCAACAGCTTCACTTTCAGCTCCTGAAGGAAAGGTGGGCGAGAAGCCTGACCCATCAATCTGGCTCAGCAAGGCTTGCGCAGAAGGCTTTCCGACGGCCATCCCGGAGCGGGAGAGGGGGGGCGCTGGGACCCCCGACTGTCTAAGCCCTGCGGCGAACTGAGTCCGGCCCCGGCCGCCTGCTCGCTAACCAGCCCGGGCCCAGCCTGGCTTCTTTCCCCTTCCCCTTCGCGCCCCTTCTCTCCCTGGTTGGAGCCGCCTCGGGTACCGCCCGCCCCCAGACCGCCCGTGCGCTGCCAGCCGCCGCCGCCCCCCAGGCCAGTGACGGCCCCTTTTTTCGGCACAGGACCCCCCCCCGAGGAACGATGAGGGCCCCGCTCTTGCTACTGCCGGCCCTTCTGGCGCTGCTGGCCACCGTTGCACGTAAGCGGGGCTCGTGGCGAGGGAGCTGAGCTGGGGCCCTGGCAGGTGGGGCCCGGGGGCCCGGCTCTTTCCCTGCCCCTGCCTTCGTTCAGCCTTCCCGCCCTTGCTTCACAGGAGCTGAAGAGGCCCAGGAGACGCTGAGGACACGTTTCCAGGGCTTGGCCCAGAAGGCGCAAGAGCGCTTCGCCGCCATCCAGGCATCCGCTGTTTTCCAGCAAGTGAGGTGGGTTTGGGGGTCTCTGGCATTTTGGGGGTGGGGAGGAGGACGCAGACGCTGCACAGCCATTGGGGGCTGCTCCTCCTGTGGGCCGAGCGACGTGGAGCAAGAGACCGGGGGGGGCTGTCCGGCCTCTCTTCCCCAGAGCAGGGCAGGCACTCCCAGGAGGGCAGAGCCGGCAGCTTCGGAGCTGGTCGTGGGTCACGTGGCCTGTCCAGCTTCCGGAGCACCGGGACACACCCGCCCCCCCCCCCACACACACCCTGACGGCCTCCTAAATTGGCCAAGACTGGGACCAGACTCTTGTTTCTCACAAAGCCCCCGTCTGACTGGGGAGGACAACTGGCTGGCTGTGCAGTTGATTCTGCTTCTCCACCTTGAACCTTTGCAACGCACAGACCCCCTTTGGGCTCAGCGCGCGTCCAGCTACGGCTTCCCCGCCCAACAGGGCCTCTCTCGGCGGGGGGGGGGGCTCTATTCCCTGAACTCCCTTTCTTCCCCTTCTCACCCCACCGTAACTCTCTCCAGGGAATTGGCACAGACTGGCATCGAACGCGCCCGGGACGTGATTGAGCAAGTAAAGACTCGAGTTTCAAACCTGCTGGAGAGAAACCCTGCCAGCGCCTGAGACTGGAGCCCCCTTCCACGCTCAGGAGCCCAACGGAGCAACATCTGATTACTGTGGAATTTTTCTCATTAAAACGAACAGAACGTTGCATGCTTGGCTTTCTTCCTATGCGGCGAGTGGACGGGCATCCGCCCCCCCCAGGGCAGGGATTTCATAGGGGCGCGAGGGGCGGTGGGCTTCCACTGCTCCTCATCCTCAGATAATAATCACAAGAGCGGAGGTGTGTCCCAAAACATGCCCCTGCTCAGCCTTGGTTGAGGGGGTGCTGCATATCTTGTGAAGGGGGCTGATCTGCCCCACGGCCAAGGGTGGCTGCAGAGAAGCCGGGGAAAGTCCCTGCCCTTGGTCCCTGGGGCCAGAGAGAAGTGTGGTTCTGGGGGACCCACATTTCAGCCAGTTTGGCTCTGGTCCAAAAACCTCATGGGTCCTCCCAATCCCAGAATAGTTGCATTCCAGACCACCCGTTCACTCCTGACCTTAGCAGGCGTCAGCACCCTAACCCCATTCATGGACTGGCCTGTGGGGGAACACTATCTGGGGGGGGAGCGTGCCCTGTGTCCCAAGCATCCCCCTTCAAAGCTTGAGGACCACCCCACCCTCGGAGTCATTGATGAGGGGCAGGAAATGTCCTTCCCATCTCCTCCTAACTGATAAAGGGGGATAGGGGAGCTTTGGATGAGCTGAACCCCCAGTCTCACCGCCTAGGTCCCCCTGGCCCATCATTGTGCAAGTAGACACAGATCATTTGCATATAATTGTTTTTTATTTGGCATAAAAGGAGAAGAGAAAAAAGTCTAGGGAGGGGACATGAGACTAGCAGCTGGGAGGGGAGGTGTTTCTGGCCTTCTACTGTCTTACAAAGGAATTGCCAGCCTCCTCAGCCATTAGGATGGGTCACCGGGACCCTTGCGGGGAAGGGGGAGAGGCAGTGCTGATTGGGGGGGCCACCAAGGCAGGGCCTCTAGGAACTCTGCTGCTGTGTCTCCTGCTCCAAATTCTGGGTGGCCACAAACAAGGACTTCACGTTCTCCAGCATGGTCAGCAGCTCCTCCCGGGCCGTTTCCCAGAGGGGCCCGTATTTCTCACGCACTTCGCTCAGTTGCTGCTGCAGCTCAGTCTGCAACTCGGTGAACTCAGCCTGGGCACTCTGCTCCAGCGTCTTGACCTTCTCCTGGATCAGCTGCTCCAGTTTCTTGGCGTAGGGAGCAGCATCCTTGCGGAATTCGTCCACGTGGGTCCGCACCTTGTCCCGGAAGCCCTCGGCCACCGGCCTCAGCCTCTCCTGGGCCGCCTGGTTGATTTCCTTGGAGACGCTGCTCAGCTGCTGGAAGTAGGCAGCCGCGTCCTGCTGCACATTCTCCCGGAGCCTGCGCAACAAGGGCTGGATCTGGGCTCCGAGGTCCTGCACGTCCCTGGTCACCTCTTCCTTCAGCTTCTGCCAGGCCGTCTCCAGTTCGATCCTGACTTCTTGCAGCTCGGGGGTTATCTGCTCCTTGATCTCTCGCAGTACAATGGTTAAGGCTTCCAGTTTCTGCCCTAAATTCACTCTGTAACAGAGTAAGACTTGAGTCAGAGGCTGCAGAGGGAAGAGAACCTGACCCCCCCGCCCCTCCTATCTAGAGTATTTTGAAAAACAATGAAAAATCGAAATATATATTTTGTTGGATGATGGTGGGAAGTTGATCTGGCTGAAAAAACGACATTATAACCAATAAAACATAGACTCCTATGATCGGAAGGTACCTCAGAGGTCTATTAGTCCACCCCTCCATCCCCAAGGCAGGAGACCTCATACCATCCCAGTCAAATGATTGTCCAGTCTATTTTTGAAAACCTCCAGTGACTTGAGCACCCACAACTCTGGGAAGCAAGCTAATCCACTGATTGTTCTGACTGTTAGAAAATTTCTCCTTAGCTCTCGAATGAATCTCTCTTTAACAAGCTCCCACTCATCACTTCTTGCCCTGCCACCCGGTGCTTTGGAAAATAAGTCGATCCTCTCCTGTCTGGGACAGCCCTTCACGTTCTGGAAGACAGTTATCATGCCCCCCCCCCAATCCTTCTGTCCTCTAGGCTAGACATACCGAGCTCCCTCCACTGTTCATCATACAATTTAGTCTCCAGACCCTTTATCTTCTTTGTTGCTCTTCTCTGCACTCTTTCTGGGACTCCAGCAACTTTTTTTTGTATCATGGTAACCAGAACTGGATGCAGTATTCCAAGCATAGTCTTACCAGTGTGGTACACAGCGGTACTATCACTTCTTGTAATCGTGATGCTGTCCCTCTGTTGATGCAGCCCAGAACTGCATTGGCCTTTTTGGCAGCTGCAGCACACAGCTGGCTCATACCTGTGGTGACCCACTAGGATGAGTTCACCTATCTTTTTTTCCCCACCTCATTTTCTAAATTCTCCCCAGGATACAACAGAATAAAACCAACAACTCCTAACAAAAACACCAAAGATTAAAAAACTATTTTAATTTTTTTTTAAAAAAAATCACATTGTTTTAGTGAAATGCAAGTGCCTACAATGAATATATTGTGAAAGAAAAAAGGACCTTAAATGTGTGATAGTGATTACTAGACCAGTAACACCGATTGCTTTTTAAAGGTTCTTAGGGGAGGGTAGTAGAGCTGAAAATATATTGCTTGATGAATTAATTTCATTTTTAAATCATGAGAGATGCGTTTCTTATTTCAATTTTTTTAAAAAAATATGTTGAACCACTGATTTTCCATATAGAGAAGAATTGTTGGTTGCCTGCTATTCAAGCAGAGCATCTTTGAAGGAATCTAGAAATCCAGCCACACCATTTACTTAGCGTATGTTTCAGTTTATACACTGCCAGATGTATTTGGAAGGTAAATCGAATTCAAAGCATATACAAACCACCTCTGAAAATCAACTGATTTGAAGTATTAATCCCTTGCTCAATCCAAGCATTAGAACAAATTCACTTCTCATGGGATCCAGGGTCAGCACGCAACCAGTTCTCTCGCAGTAGCAAAAACATTAAAGCTGCATTTAAGAGGAGCCCAGAAGATGCCACCTACCTCTCTCAGATTGCCTTAATCACTGAGAGATGCTGGGGGATGGACATGAAACTGGGCACTGCCCAAAAGGCCTGGGAGGCAGAGGGTGTCACAGAAGCCAGCTTCATCTTGGCATGGCTGTTCTAAGGCTCTGTTTTGCCCAGGGTAGGGACAGCCACCAGCCACCTGGCAAGGCCTTCAACAATGGTGTCGCCCTACATCCCTGGGTGGGTCCACCAGCCCTCTTGCCCTGCCTTTCGGAGTGGCTGCCGATCAGCGTGGGCATCCTAAACACAGAGCCCCAAGATCTCTCTCAAACAGGTGCACACTCTGAAATGTTGTTTTGTTTTTCCTCTTCGGTTGCTTTGGGTTTTGTTACTCAACGCTTTTCCGTTTGAGTTTCCTATTCAAGATGCCTTTTTATCTTCCAAAAAGAAAAACTGCCAGCATTCTCTCCTGGGTCCACCACCCCGGACCTCGTCCATCACCAGGGACCCTCCTCTCCTCTGCTGGGAAGCAGCCCGGCTGGCTCTGCCTCTTCTCTCGTCCATCCCACAGAGCAGGACAGTGGACCCTTCCCTAGCCAGCAGCCTTCTCCTGCCATGTCTGCTCTGCCAATCAGCCTGCTAAGTACATGGGGAGGGGGCTCGCAATCCTCCAGGGCAACCACATCTTTCTCCTCCCGGAAAATCCCAGAGGTGCCCCCCAGCCTATCCCTCACCCCAAGGTGCGAGGCACTACTCACTGCAGCTCCTGGGCCACGGCAGAGGAGTCAAACTGGACCACGGCTTGCTGGACTGCCGTCTTGGCTGACTCCAGGTACACCTGGCCCAGCTCCTGCAGGTGTTCCAGGCGGGTCTGCTGGGGATCATCATGCTGCCAGAAGTAGCGGGCCTGGGCTCCTGCAGGGCAAGGCGGAGTGGGCTCAGCACAGGCGGAGGACTCTCCCTTCCCGGCCACCCAAAGGCAGCCCTTGCCACAGCAGGAGCAACTGCTCTCCTCTCCACAATCACCCGGGCAGCAGCCTTGCCCCCACACCCAGCCCACCCTACCTGAGGGCTCCTCTGCCCAGACTCACCTGTAAGGAGCAGGAGGGCCAGGACAAGATTGAGGCTCTGCATCATGAACTACGTTCAACCCTGGGAGCAAGAAAAGCCGTTGGGAAAGAGAAGCCCTCCCTGCCTCTGCCCAGGCCCACAGCCCCGTCTCCTGGCATGGGCAGTGACCCAAGGAAATAGGGCTGAGCTGGAGGGGCGCAGGGTGGCTCTTAAGGCCCAGACACCCTCTCAGCTGAGGATCCAGCCCCTGCCCATTCCCCAAGAGACCCCGAGCAGTTCCCCCAGCACCTGCTCCTTGTCCCCACGCCAAATGTTCCCTTGCCCTTCTTCTCTACCGCCCTCTTGCCGGCAAAGGAATTGGGGAGAAGGGTCAGCAAATGAGGGAGGAAGAGAGCAGCCGGATGAAGCCAAGCCTGGGAGGTGCCCGCATCTTACCAGCCACTCAGGTGTCTGCTGCGGTCTTTGCTGCATGGAGTCGATGGAGGCTTTTTATACCGACAGGGTTGTTTATTGCTGGAGATAAGCAGTAGCTATAAACAGGGAATTCACTCCTGAGCTATGACTATGTGGCGCTTAAGAGTTCAAGGATCAAACACATCCCCAGGCAGGAGAACCAGGGACAAGAGAACTGACTGGGATCAAGCCAAGAGCCGGGCTGGGCTCAGGGCCAGTTTGCGTACTCAGCTGGCAGTCATCGGCCAGCAGCAGTAAACAAGTGGAGGGCCCTGGGACTTTTGGGGAGGCTTAGTGGCTGGCAGGGCCCTCCGGCCATGAGATGCTTCCACTCTCCAGGCAAGCTGATGGAAGTCAGGCTCACCCCAGACTTGGGGCAAGACCAACAGGCCATGCCAGCCTTTCTCCTCCCACCAAGGCTAGGCCCTCGGTGTCCTGCTTCTGCCACAAGCAGCGGACAGTGGCCCACCTGAACAGACTCCCAGCTGCAGGAAACAGAGAGGAATGGAGCACCAGTGTCAGAGGAGAGGGGCACATTGGCAAATCAATACTCCTCTGGCAGAGAAGACGCACTCCAAATATTCTAGACGGAAGGTGGGTTTTGCAGAGACCCCCACCTGAAAGGACTCATCCGGGGCCTGGGCAAACCTCTTTTGTGGACATGAGTTGGTTTCAGTTTCCAACCAGGCCTAACAAACAGATGGGCCTTCCCAAATGAAGGACCAGCTGAGTTGAGCATGAGAAGCCAGCAAAGGCCGATGTCGCTCTTGTGGTTCTCTGTCAGACTTGCTTCCCCCATTGAAGCCACTCCTGGAGGCTCCAAAATTCAGCCCTGAGCCCTGCTTGGCACGCAGGTGGTGAAATCAAATGCCCAGGGCAAACACCAGCCCAGCCTTTTGCAGGCACAGCTGAAGGAGGTGCTCTGCACCGCTGTTGTCCTTCCACACCTGGGACGGGACAGGAGGTGGGGGCTCCTTTCTTTAATTCATGGAGCTGAGCCAAGCCACATGGGGGGCTTTGTTTTTCTCAACAGCCAACACATGCCAGGGTTGATCGCACATCCCACTCAAGTGCTCCTACAGCCAGATTTCCGGAGAAGCTACTGGGGGCATGCAGCACCCCCCCCCCGGCTCTTCTAGCCTGCAACCAATCAGCAGCTTAGGTGGGCAAGGGCGGAGGAGGGACACCCACCCTTCTGCCACCAGCAAAATTGGAGGTGGAGAATGGCTGCTCCAAATTCTGGATCAAGCCCCTCCCCCCTCTTGCTCCACTGGATGAAATCCTGCCATTGTGCCAAGGCTACAAACAGGTCCCTTGCGCCAATGTGAGCTGCTAGTGAAAGGTTGGCCCAAAACACCCAGAGGAGCCTCAGAGCCCCTCCACAGTGAAGGAGCTGCCCAGATGCCCCAACATCCCCGCCCAGGGAGGAGAGCAGGCCTGGCAGGACACAGGAGGCCGTGGGCACACTTCAGGCCAAAGCTTTGGAGCTGGCAAAGGCTCCCAGTTCCGTGTCAGGAGGAAGAGGGATCCTCCACGCAAATGGCAGACACGAAACAGAAGCGTGGCTCCTCCTTGCTCGAGGGCTGCTCTGGCCGGCCATTTCCCAGAGCCTGGACGGAGACTTGTTTGCCCTGAGCCAGCAATGAAGAGCTTCGCCCTGCCGGGTCAGCTGCCAAACCCTGCAGACTCCAAGCGGGACCAGCTTTTTATCCAACCTAACGGAGGCTGGCTGGGACACTGGTATTTGCCAAAACTAGAGCCACAGATGGGGGCTGCTGCCGATTACAGCCCTCAGGGCAAAAAGGGCCCAAGTCACCTTGGGGGAGACCATCCCTTACAGCAGCTCTGGGAGACCCCTGCTGCCACGCTTCTTGCTCCCTGCAGGGCGTGGTCAAAGTCAAAGGGACGGAGCTTCACTTCACCGGCAACATTGCAGCCATCCTCTCGGCTCTTTATACCACTCCCAGCCCCCCCCTAACCCCCGGGGGCTAGGCTGGGCAGCAGCTTCCCCAATGGCAGCAAGAGAGGAGCCAGACCAGAACTGAGAGCCAATCAGAATCAAGGGTTTATTTGAACAGCTAGTTGCAAACAGCCCACCCACCCAAAACGGAACTAAGAATTTACTGAAAACCTGGGGGACCTGTGTGTATGGAGGGTCTTGTTTTAGTCCAACATAAACAAGAAAAATACTCTGGACATTTCCCCAAAACAGAAATAATAGCAAAGTATATTATACATTCAACATATACTGTAAGTACTGATTATACAATACAAAGCAACAATTAAAAAAAACCAAAACTGAAAACAAACAAACAAAAATGTGATACTGCAAAACAGCCCAGCCCGGCATGCCCCACCCAGCCTGTTGGAATAGGGCTGGTGGGGGGGTGCTGCTGCTGTCACCTCCCAGGTCATGTAAACAGGAGGATAAACAAGCCGGAGTCCAGAGCTGGGCCGAAGGTGGTGGGTGGATGGGCCACCTTCAGGTCCCCCCTCCTCCTAGCCACGGAAGCTCCAGTTCTGATCCAGCCCATAGGAAGAGACCAGGTGCTCCCGAAGAGAAGGGAGGCTCAGCCAAAGAATCAGCCCTCGGAGGGATTCTGTGCTTCCATGCCAATCCGGAGAGCTGCAGGAAGGCTGCCCTTTTAAAAAATCCTTCCAAAGAGTAACAGGAATTCTTGGGGGGGGGGGCTTCCAAAGGTCCCCAAAGGCAGAAAGACGACACCAGGCGCTCTCCACACGAAGGCCTCTTCACCTGGCCAGTCACTGAGAAGGGGGGCTCCTCTGGAGGGCAGGCCGCAGGGAGAGGGGGGCAAGCAGCATGGCCAAGGGCAGAAAGGCATTCTGAATTAATTTATTAATATTAATAATAATAATAATAATAATAATACCCAAAAAATTTACTGAAACAAATTCCTACATGATCTGGAGGGAAACAAGTTAAAAAACAAGAACCAAACTTTCTCAGAATTAAACTAAAAAAGGAAAGATAGCACGTGATATGAATGAAAAAGAGATACAAAAAAGAGAAAAAAGGGATGTTTAAGCACAATGACAAAATCCAAACACAGAAAAGTCAATAAATGAGAGAGACACAAAAGCAATATTGCACCGCGGCCAGGAGGGGACCGGGGAGAGAAGAGAGAGCCTGAATCTGGGGGGGCTTGGGGGGGGGGAGACGAGCAACAGAAGGCAGGCAGGCAGGCAGGCAGGCATAAAGACGGCCCCAGCCCAGCCCCACAGTCCCTGCAGAGGGCCGGCCTGGAGAGGCCCTGTCCAAAAGTCTGCTTATTGCTGGCTCCAGCCAGGCCAGGGAGGCGCCTGCTGCCCTCGTGGTGGTGGTCAATCCCTCTCCACAGCCCCCGGAGGGGCGGTCTGGCGCTTCCAGAACAGCCGGCATCACAGGCAAATATGGCAATAATGAACATCCGAAAGGGACAAGCACGCTCTGGGACCAACGCGGAGGAGGAGGAGGAGGAAGAGCAGGAAGAGTCACCACCGCCATGAGGTTTCCTTCCCAGAGAAACGTGATGGCTGTTTGGTGCAAGGCTGCAAGATACTGTCGGTTTGAAATGGACCTTCTCACTTCGGAGCTGTATAAAACCCTGTCAACGCAATACCAGGAAGGGAAATGTGGGCAGCTGGGCTGGAGCTGCACACCCACTGGCCTTGAAGACACAACCCTGGGCCTCCAGCCACCGCCCCACCCCCTGCGGGCACCGGAAGTTGGCACCTCCAGCCAGGAAGCACCAAGGGGGTCCGGGATGCCCCAGGCCCTGATTCACACATGCTCTTTGCCCCTGGCCCACCCTCCTTTGGGGTGCTGCTCCCTCAACAAGGGCCAGTCAGGCCTCCCCTCCCTTTCTCAGCTGGTGGGGCACCCCCCTCCTCCTCCGGCATAGGGCGCAGACTCACGGCTGCCATCAGCTCACTAGACCCCCGCTTGCTCCACCCCAAAGGGAAGCTCCGGGTGCCTGTAGCTCAGCAGGACGTCGGTGACACAGGTGGAGGGGTAGCAAGAGGCATTGAGATGCTGGCTGCCATCACCCAAGCTGGACTGCTCCCGACCTTCCAGATGTTCCCCACCATCTGTGGGGGCAGAGGAAAATGAAACCACCCTCCTGGCTGAGGGCCCGGGCTGCAGGGAGGGCCCACCTGCCACCCAGCATGTCCAAGGCCAAGGGAGGGCCACCCTCCTGGGGTCACAAGCAGGGCAAGCCTCCCTGCCCCAGAGTCCGCCTCAGGGTCCCCCCAGAGTTGTGTGTCTGGCACTCACCCCTCCTCTCTCCCTCAGGGAGGGGCTGGCTGCCCACCAGGGAGGTCTGGCTGAGAACAGCATCGGCCATCCGGGCAGAACTAAGTGCTTTCCCTGCCATGAGGCTCATGCCCAGCAAAGGGTCCAGTTGCACCTGCAGCAGCCAGCAAAAGGGGCACTGAGGGGCTGGGATGCGTGGATAAGAGAGGGAAAACCACCCAGCCCCGCTCACTGCACAAGCAAGAGGCTCAGGCATTGCCCCAGCCAGACTCTCCTGTCCCCAGCCCCCAACGCACGTAGGCATCGTCGCTGTTTTGGATGGTGTGGTGTCTCTGCAGGGGCCGGGATCTGGGATGTGCGCCAGGAATCATTCTTGCTGGGAACGCCGTGAGCCCCTCCACATCGGCCATCTCCATGTGCCCGGGCGAGGTCCTCTCCTGGCCACCGGTGACCATAGGATCTGGATGGACAAGCAGGAGGGCAAAAGAGGTCAGGAGTCCAGGGAAGTCTTCCAGCCAGCCCAATCTTTTGCCCCTCGAGCCCAGCCCCGTCCGGCTCAACAGGGGGACAGGAAGGACCGTTTCCTAATCCAGCCAAGAACTGGCTGAGCCTTTCTGGGTCGCCAAGGGGATCCAAATCAGGGGTGCTGGCCCCGGAGGCCAAGCCACCTATGTCACCAAAGGTCTCCTAGGGTCCCTGGCGCAGGGCACAGTGGTCAAAGAGAGCATTTCCCATGGCCATCTGGGCTCTGTTGCCGCTTCTTCTTCCCCTTCTGGCCACTGCCGGGTCATCTTCCCTGCATCCCAAATCACTCCCCCCCCCCCNCCCCCCCCCCCCGCAGTGCTGAGGATGCCATGCTCCGAAAAACACCGTCCTCCTCCTGAGGGGAAAGCCGGGGCCACCGAAAGGCCAACGCCGCCCAGGGGCAGAGGGGGCTGCCTTCGCCCCTCAGCTGAGAAAGAGAGCGCCCTTCTGCCCACAAGCGAGCCCTGGAAAGGGGCTCTAGCCAGCCCCTCGTGGATGGGAGCCGGGCCTTACCTGGGCAGGGCACTTCGCTCCGACTGAAGGGGGAGACGGTCTGGGGCCGATACAGGTGGGCTCCCAGCTCTGGCTCACCCTTGGCAGGCCCAAATAAAGAGTCCGAGTCCCCAGGCCCCCCAATGCTTAAGAGGAGCCGCGTCTCGGGGCAGCCTTTGGTCTTGTGGCCGGGGAAAGGGTCCCTGGGCCCCTCGCACAAGCAGTCCGCCGCTTCCTCCTCCTCCTCCATGCTCTCCGAGTGCAGCAGGGCCGAAGGTGGGGCGTATCCGCGGGCCGACCCCGAGGCATGCGAGAGGCACTCCTGTCCCCTGACTTTCAAGAGTGGCTGGGGGCTGGCATGGGGATGGTAGGGGTCAGTGTTTTGGTAAGGCAAAGCCAGGGGCGGCCGGTCAGGGAGTTTCTGGGCCATGCTGGGGAGCCCCTGTCCCGCGTCCCCTTGGCTCATCTGCCGGAACAGCTCCTGGAACTCCTGCTGCTGCTGCTGCTGCTGCCGTCGCTTGATCAGCTGGGCCACCTCTGCCTGGGGCAGCCGCAGGTCTGGGTGGCCGGCCAGCGAGTGGCGGGGAGAAAGCAGCCCCTGCAGGATGGGGGGCACTTGCGGGCGCCGGCTGTAGTCTGGTGGGGTGGGGGACAGCAAGGCCTGGTGCAGGGCGGAGGCTGTGTAGTGCTGCTGCTGCTGCTGCTGGCTGCTCTGGGGGAAGCCGGAGTACTGCTCCAGCAGTGGCACCTTGAGGGCTGGGGCCGGAGGGAAGCCGGAGGGGCCGGCGGGGCCGAAGCTGCTTGGAGAGATGCGGGACGGCTCAGGGAACAGCTGGGGGTGCAGGTGCGCCTGGGCATAGCCTGTGGCGGATGGGTACCTACAAAGAGGGGCCAAGTCAGATCGGCTCGCTCCCAGGCCAGCCGGATGGGGTAGGCTTGCTCTGCTCATGGCCTGCCTGGCCAAGCCCGGGCTGCCTCCCCTCCCTCACCCTCGGCCAGCCGCACCTGTGGGAGGACTCGGCACTGTCTGCGCTGAGCTGCTTCGACAGGGGCCGATGTCCGTAGGTCAGGGAGGCCATCAGGCTGGCACGATGATGCATCTGCAGCGGACTGGCGCTGGGGGGTATGGGCAAGCCCCGCCCGGCCTGCAGAAGGCTGTTGCCCATGAGGTCGCCGGGCTCCTGCATCGGGAGGGGGACAGGCTGCCCCGGCTGCTGCAGGCCCACACAGGGCAAGGCCAGGCTAGGGGGTGGGGAGCGATTCCCAGGCTGCCGGAAGATGTTGCCGTGTGGAGGCGGAGGCGATGGCGTCCCCCCCTGGAAGGGCGTCTGGGAGGCTGCACCTGCAAAGAGCACAGCCTTGCTGGTGAGCGAACCTTGACCCTGTCGTTTCCCCTCCCCAGGACTGCGGGGACTCCCCGGGCAGGAGAGGGGCCCTGTGGAGCGAGCCCAAACCCTGCAGGGCTGCTCACCAGCCGACACCTACTGTGGGCCTGGAGCATGCTGCTGCTAACGGGCGGGGGGCTGCTGTCCGCCTGCTTGAAGAGATGGTTGCTGGGGTGGCTTGGAGGTGGGCTGGAGGGCTGGATCTGTAATCTGTGTGTACAAACACAAAATCAGAAGCAGAGCCCTGGCATCTCAGGAGAATACAGCATGTGAGTCTGGCTGGCTGGCCAGCTCTGGGACTGTCCCTGTCCCAGGAGGGCCTGGCACTCCTTGAACAGCCCCTCAGCCCCAAGCAGAATACCAGCGCCTAAGAGCAGAAGCCGGGCCCTGCTGCATCGGACTCCAGACCCCGGCAGTTTTCCAGCTCAGCCCACCGTGGCTTCCTAAGGGATATGCTGAGACCTGGACCCAGCCCTTCCCAGATGAAGCTGCACGGGAACGTGAGGACGGAAGCCGTGCCCTGCTGGACTGAACTCCTGGGCTGGTAGTCCAGCAGCTGTTCTGCCAGTAGCCAAGGGCACAAGGAAGCCCAGAATCACCCAGCTGTGCCCTTCAGAAGCACTGCTGTGGCCTCCAGGCCAACAGCCACCCATCCCCAGGACTTCCAAGAAGAGTCCAATCCTCTTTTGAAGCCAGCCAACCTGGCAGCTAGCACCACTTCTTCTGATACCAAATTCTAATCTTTGAAGTAATAAATTAAGACCCAGAAAATGAAAGGCAGATTTTTTAACAAAACCAAATCTAGGAAAGCACTATAAAACAGCGAGAGCAAAACTAGGAAATGCCCTTGTTCAAATGGCGTATTTCTCATACAAGGCCACGTGTTCACAGGGAAGGAGCGTTGCCGTTCTTTACATCCATATCTAATTCTCTTCCACAATGAGGGCCTGGAAGCTCTCCGTGTTTTCCTCTTGTCCTCCTCCTTACACAAGCAAAGGTCAACAGCTCCAAGCTCAGCTTTATTCAGCCGAGGGTGGTTAACCAGCTGTCCTTTTACTGCTGTGCTCAGCAATTTTCTCTTCTGCTCTGCCAGAGGTCTGCAGACTTTCCCTGCTGAAAGGGAGCAGTGCCACAACTCCTCCTGAAGCTCCTGTCAGCTTAGAGGGATTTCAGCCAGGACCCCCATCCTGCTTCCCCCTTCCTGAGGTCTGAGCCAGAGCTGAGCTTTCCAAAGGCCTAGAGGCCTCTCCTTCAGCTGGCCCAGTGGGCACCGTCCTTTCCCTGCAGGAGGCCTTGGGAGGCCTTTAGACCTCCTGGGGCTCCCAGAAGGCGGGCAGGGGGGAGGCTTTGCTCACCTCTGGAGCTGGTGAGTGAGCAGAGCAGGCTGGTTTTCACTTGCCGCCTGCAAGGGTGGGGAAGGTTGTGGCGGACGGATGCAATCCTGTGCAAGGGAGAGGAAGAGGAGGAACAGAGAGAAATGCGGTGAGCATGTCCCCCCCCCCGACTCCCCCCCCCCCACCTTGAGCAATGGGCAAAAGAAGAGCCGCCTCTGCATCAGAGCTGGGCTGCTGAACTGCCCTGGGATTCAGCAGTCACTCTGGATACCTGCAAAGCAGCAAAGCTCTGCAGAAGCCCAAAGGGAGAAAGGGTGGGCAGAAGGAGGTTCCAGGCCCCCCCCACATCCAAAGTGCTGCCCTTCTCAATGCCCCCCTACCTGGATCTGCTGCTGAAGGATCTGGTGGTGCTGCTCCTGCTGGTACAAGATATGCTGCTGCTGTGTCTTCTCCAGAGTCCTCTCGTCCATGTGCCCCCCGTACATCTTCTGGAGCTGCTCACACTCCTGAAATAACCTCCTGGTGAGGCTCAGCCCTGCCTGGCTGCAGAGAGCCAGCAAGGAGGGGGCTGGGGCAGGCCTGGCCTCGGGTGATGGCAGCTGCCTCAGCACTGCGCAGAATGGCAGGCCCGGAGGCAGCTCCCTCTTCAAAAGAAGTTGCCCACTGCCGGCCCCCCTCTGCCCGGAGAGGAAGACCTGAGAGGCCAAAAGGCTCCTTGGGCTGCCAAGAGCCTCACCTCAACCGGGCATCCCTGTCACACTCGCTCCCCATCCTCCTTGCAAGCACCCTCGGAGCTGCCCGCCAGAACTGGGAGCCCACTGAAGCCTCCAGCAGCTCCCTGGGCAGCCAGAGCGGTCCAGCGACCCTCTCACCACACAGCTGGTGCCTGGCCCAGCCATAGCCATGCGCAGTAGCGGACCCTGAACTGAAAACTGGCAACTCTTCAGGGAAAAAGAAGAGATTTCCCAAAACAAGGGCTCCGAGCACTACAAAAAGTTCTGGGCCAAACAGTGAGAAAAATGGCAACCCTGCAGGTCAGCTGCCTATGAGACCATCCAACTTGGCTTTGCTCTGGCAGAGAGGCCCGGCTGGGTTCTCCCAAACTCAGCCCTGTACCTGCTGGAGCTGCTTGATGCTGCTGTGGTTGCCCATCCTCTCCAGCTGCGCCTTGAAGGCCTGGATACTGGCCGCCCCATCTGAGAAACGGCGCACTGGGGAGAAGCGCTCTGTGGGGAGGTGCAGCGTGTTTGAGTCCTTGTAGACATAGCTGGAGACACACACGGAGGAGAGGAGCAGGCTAGAAGGAGCAGCTTGACCCCAGGGCCATTTCCCCAAAGGCCAGCCTCCCCCCTCCACTCACCCTAACAGAACAGGAACCACTTGAGACAGAAGAATCTGATCACTGGATGCCTGCCAAACATACCCGATTTGTCTCTTATTAGTCAGAGCAACTAATAGAAGTGAGGAACTCCTCCCATCTCCTCCGGACTCCAAAGCCATGTCCGGGGGTCTCTGGCTTCAGGGCCTGTCTGGCCACCACCTGAACCCCCAAGAACACGAAGGGAGCAGCAGCAGAGAAGAGGAGCTGGAGGGTCACTACACCCCCTGCACCTGATGCCATCTTTCCAAGACAGGGAAAAAGCATTTGGCATTTGCAGCATGTGCTTCCCTTTGCCATAAGAGCCCAAAAGGGCTGCAACTGATTAATGTCCATCTTAACTACAAGAGGAGCAGAAAGGAGTTGCCTTTGTTTCCTGATCATCTCTAGGATATTGCAAAGTGCTCAGACAAAGACTTGGCCAGGCCAAGTGGGGGAGATGACCCCTAAGGCACATCAGCTCCAAGAACAAACTATCCAGAGGTATCTCCATCAGGATTCGGGCTTCAGATGAATGTATCCTGGTTGGTGCTGAAGGACCTGTTAGGCGTACATCAGCAAAATGTGGCACGACACTTTGGGCATTCCACTCTTCCTGCAGGACTTGTATTCAGCCCCCAAGAGCCAATCCTAACCCTAACCCCCTCCCACCCCCAGGAATCAGGCTAGCCTTAGGGAGGACTCAGCTTTGCACCTTTGCCCAGCTTAAGCTGGCATGCTAACCCAGCCCTGGCCACGGTGGCACACGCCTCTCTTTCCAACCAAGTGAGTGCTTGACATGCACTTGGCCTGGGGCTACCTTGGAAACATGGGCATGGCCAAGTTACTCTGGTCCTGCCAACACTGTCCTGGTTACCAGTTGCTTCCTCGGGCACAAGTCCAGTGGCCTAAACCTCCCTCTTCAGGAAGGGATTTCCTCCAGTGGCCTGTGAACTGCAGGAGAGGCCCTCTCATGACTCTTCTGGAATAGCATCTAGCGTTGGCTTTGGGTTTCTTGTCTTCTAAGCACCCTTGCCTTGTGCCTACTTTAAATGCTGTATGAATCTCTGTGACATGCATGGTTTGGAAAGCTATCGTAGAAATCTTTAAACAAATGAATAAAGTCAGCGAAGTTATCCCCTTTTTTCATGGACTGAGGAGAAGGGAGAAAGAAGAGAGGCCAGGGACAGCCCATAGAGGCAAACCCCAACCAGGTTTTCCACTAGGTTCGGGGAGCATCTCCCCCTCCTGTCAAATCCTTGAAGTCAGAGCGGCTAAGTGGCCTCAGCTGCCAGCAGAGCTGCCTGGCAAGGGACTTCTGGGAGGCAGGGGCCAGCTCCTCACTACCTTGGGAGCCTGGCTGCCCCACCCAGCTCACAATGGCAGATTTCAAGTCACTGGGCCATCTCTGCAAGTGCCTGGGAGCCCTGCATGCCAACACCACCATGCAGCTACTCCCCAGAATGCCTGCCTCCCCCCCCCCAAGCCACACTCCTGCTCTGCAGCAATTCAAAGGCTGTGTCTCTTGGGGGGGGGAGGGGACAGAGCTGAAAGGCTTCCAGGAAGCCCCGGGAGCCCAGATGCTCCTTCCTGGCTGCCTGTGGCCTACCGATGCAGAGGGAGGGAGGATGCTTGGCCCAGAGCAGCCCAGCTGAGTCACAGAAGGGGCGGACTCTTATCTCTGCCCTTTTGCTCCGCTTGCTTCCAGCGTGGCAGCCCTGTGGCCCCAGCTGGCTCAGAGTCCAGCTGCTCCTCTGGTGACGTCATGCTCTGCCCACGAGACCTCCAGCTCCCCTGCAGACAACGCAGGATGGGGGGGGCTCAGTGGGGGCAAACTAAGACGAGTGGGAGAGAGGGAGCAGAGCCCCTCCTGCTGGTCTTCCCAGGGAGAGAAAGGAGTTTTGCACCGTCCCTGGTAACATGTCCCAGGCTGAGAAGTCATTTCGCAATGATCAACAGTCAGCTGCTACATCTGCCCCCTCTACTCTCCTCCCCCCATTGGACTGCAGGCTAACAGGCCGCTCCAGTGCAAATCCCCTGGCCCAGCTGTTGACATGAACAAGGTTCAGAGGTTGTTCTCTGAGGGTGGTTATCAAGAGGCGGCCCCTGTATCAGCACAAACAGAGGAGACTGGATGCTCTGGCCACGTCCCCTCCTGTCCTGCTCACAAATCCAACTCTAGAAAGTTGCTGATGCTGCTGTTGCTGTTGCTGATGCTGCCTTTCCAGCTCCACCCTGGATCCACCAAGTCAGAGAGAACTGGCAGGTGGCCACCCAGTTAGCCAGCTGCCCACCAAGCTGCCGGGCTAACAAAGCCCCAACCTCTGCTATATGGAGATACCCAGCACTGACAGCCATCCCCGAGGCCCAAGGGGGCAACGAACCTGAGGGGGCGATCGACAAGTTGAGAGCCACAGGCACCCGGGGCAAACTGCAGGAACTTCTGCCCTCCTCTGAGGGGCAGCTTCCCAAGCGTCCGGTGCCGCTACTCACCGGTGCTGGTCAGGTGCCAGGTGTGAGGCCCGGGAGCGGAAGGGCTGCTGTCCGAGCTGCCTCTGCAAGTCAGGCGGGATTTCCGCAGTGGGGTTGGTCATGGCCAAGGTGTGCCTTTTTGACCTATTGGCCAAGTATCTGCAACGAGCAGGAGCAGAGGAGATGAGCAGGAGCCCCTGGACGAAAGGCAGCACCCAGGACCTCCTGAAGACAGAGCGGCAGCAGCAGCGGCGGCAGCAGCAGCAGCAAAGTGGGGGGCAGCCTCTTGCCCACCTCTCTAGAGCCTTGTATGGGGGGGCACAGAGAGGCAGAGAGAGAGAGCAAGAAGGCCGGCCATTACTGGCACAGCCCCACTCTGAAGAAAGCAGAAGGGCCAGAGAATTAAGCCAAGCAGGTGGAGTTGCGAGCAGGCTCACCCAGGAGGAAGGAGGGGCAAGGAGGGCTACCTCAGCACCCATGCTGGGGCCCCCAAGGAAGGGCAAGCCTAGCAGGAGAACCACTCTAATGTGGCTCCCATCGGCAGAGTTCAAGGACTGATGAGGCATAAGAGGTCAGAGAGGCCTTTCAGCCTGACAAAAGGACGCTGTCAAGGCAGCCCGTCCAGTGCAGAGTTGGAAGGAACAAATCAAAAGCTGGAGCCCTTTCCTTCCGAGTGGGGCTGCTGCCACACAGCCTTGGAGTACCAGGCCCACACCCAAGGCTGCAGTGAGCCAGGCTGAATGGAAGCTGCTGGCTAGCAATGGCCAGGCTTCAGGAGAGCTAACCAGGATGCCAACCTATGAGCCGTAAGAAATACAGGAACCTGCCCCAGAGAAGGGAAGGCTTGGAAGTGCCTGCTTACTTGCCTGCCTACCTAGACCAGTTTTCACCACTGACTGATAACTGGGAGGAGGGCAGGAAGAGGATGCATCAAAGGCTACTTATAGACAAAGGAAGGGCACTTAGGGCAAGGCAGCTACAAGGAGCGCAACAACAAAGCTTCCCTCATCCACATGACCAAGCCATCCAGATGATCCAGGAAGAAGCAGGAGAGTGGCCACCGTGCAAGCCAGCCCTGCCCCATCTGTGCTGAGGGTGAAGAGGGCCATTTTCTGACCCACTATTTGCTCTGAGTAACTATCCTTAGCCTCTGGGGAGCCGTCTTGCCCAACAGGAGAGCCCACCCTAAGCTGCCTCTCTAACACGGGTTCAGGTGGAGAGGAAGGGCAAAGGTCAGATCTCCCTCTAATAGAGCTGCCACCTGGCCTGGGATGATCACTGACAAGAAGAAGCTGGACAGCTTTGCCCTCGCAGTCCAGAGCAGAGAGCGGAGGGATTCAGCTCTTGCACCGGATGGCTCAACCTCTGGCTGAGTGAGGGGAGGAAGGCCCACTGCTCAGGGCAGAGCACGGAGAAGAATGCAAGATCATTTAGGACAGGGGTCACCAACATGTTCAGTCAGCAGGCGCTTTCCATGATGTCACAGGAATTATCAAAAATTCTCATTTCTTATTTAAAAATTGCCTAGATCTTGCAAGTTCTCATGGGAGACTTTAAAAACAAATCTGAGAGGACCTCTACAAAGGGGAGGGGGGAACCCGCCAGTATCAATTCTACGAAAGCATTGGCAGACGCACCTCCAGGTTGCCTTCATTCTTAAAAAGTGAGAAGTGGGAAAGTTCCTTCTCTGCTAGAGTTCCCAGGCAGGATCCGCTCACCTGGGCCAAAGCTTCAATTTGCTCTGCCCCCCCCCCCTCTGAGGTCAGGCAGTCGAAGCAGCCTCACAGAAGGGACCTTCCTCTGCCCTGCTCTCCAGGCAGACTCTGGTGCAGATGGCTGTCTTAAGAGTTCCTTCATGCTCTAATGACATCCCGGCTTTCCCTCCCCGTTCCCTGCTCCCGCGGGAAAAGAGTAGCCTCCCTTCCAAAGAAGCATCTGCCAAGCTGCCTGGGAGCCAGGCCCACTGGGGGCCTGACCGCTCTGATTGCATGAGGGGATCAGCAGAAGACGACACAGAGCTGCAATCCAAACCGATACTGAATCTTGTGGCGCCTTCAGGACTTACCAAAGACGGTGGGGGCCGTAACCCATTTCATCAATACTTGTGCTCTAAAATGCTAGTGTGCCTTTAAAATGCTACAAGGCCTCTGGGGGAGTTATTATCCATTCACTTGATTTCTATAACTGCTCATCTCAACCGGTGACTCTCGTTTTTACCACAACAGCCTCATACGCTGCCCTCTGGGAATCGGCAGTCTAGACCACTGTTGGTCTTTCCCAGCGCAGAAGCTACAAGACGGGTGTTGGAAGGAAAGACAAACCACTTTGGCTGTAGGAAAGAAAGCCGCTGGGCACCAGCAGGGCAAATGCCGGGTGCCTGCCCTGGAACGTCATACTTACAGAAGGCCGCCCCTCCCTTCCGGTCAGTGCAAAGAGGTTAGTGAGAGAGAGGAGGGCAGGTCCAAGCAGCAGAGCCCCTCGGCTCCCAGGGAAGCAAAAGCAAGCGGAAGCTCCCGGGAGGCAGGTGCAAGAGTTACCTCTGCACGGCTTCCTGATCTGGCTCCCCGTCCGAGCTCTCCTCATCCACGGGGGTTACAGCAGGCACTGCCTGAAGGGAGACAAGGTCACTGGCTGTGCTTGGCCAAAAGCTTCCCCAACGGTCCCCCTCCAAGGGGGAGGAGGAAGGCCCCGAAGAAGGGCAAGGCAAAACACGCAGCCCACAAGGGAGCTTCACTGCCAAGGGCTCAGGAAGCAAGATGGCAACGCCAAGGCTAACCAGCCCTCCCCAGGACCCAGACTCAGATGAGCAGGGAGGAGGAAACAATGCCCCCCCTTGCAATGTGGAAAGCCAATTCAGACATGGGGGTCTCTGTCACCCGACACAAGCAAGCACAGCCAAGGAGCCCCTTATGGAGAGGTGTCCATAAGAAAATGGGGGCTTACGGGTGTCATGGTTACGAGGGGAGACGGGCCCCGGGGACGCTTCAGGAGCTGCTGTGCGTGCAGCTGGATGTTGGCTCCCCCGTCGGAGGCCCTGCGCCCCAGCGGCCCCATCCCGTTCAGCAGCTGCAGTGTGGGCGGCTGCAGCAAAGACTGCTCCTGCAACAAAGCTTTCTCTTATGGCTGCCCTCTGCGCGGCGGCCCCTCGCAAAGGCAGGGGGCTCTCTGTGCCCCATCCTCAGCAGCCTTCTGCAGCTGCCGGGCTGAGGCCGGCAGAGAAAGGGGAAGGGTACCTTGTACTCCAACTGGCCGGTCGGCTGCAGGTGCTGCCTGGGAAGCACATTGGCTGCCATGTTCACATTTGGGGCCACCTGCAGGAACGGGGCCTGTGGGGTGATTCGCGGGAAGCCTGGGAGCAGATTCTGGAGATCTTCCATCACCTCAGTGCTGCCAACACAGAAATAAGAGCTTGGATACCAGAAGCCAGAGACCCCGGCACACCTGCCTTTGGGTTCCATGATTTCTTGGCCAAACTGCCGAGAAGGGGCTGAGAAGCAATCGCACTAATAGACCCAACTGTTACTCAGAGAGGAACAAAGCGGGGGGAGGGTCAGCAAAGCTCACCGAGGATCAGCCACGCCAACGGTGTGTCTTCGCATGGAGAGGTAACGGACCAGAGCTTCAGGAGACGGCTCTTCTCCTTCATCGCTGTCCAAGTTCATGGTGCCATCCGTCTATAAGAGAAAGATCCCAGAAGGAGGAATGCACGAGCCTCCGGAAGAGAAAGGAGAGTCTCCAAGAAAAAGCCCTGGATGGAAAGGCCCTTACCTCGACTATCTGGTTGTCTGGGTTGATGAGCTGCACTTGTGGGACGCTGAGGCTCACTGGGTTGCCAGCAGGTTCTGCCTGTAAAGCAGACCCACCCCCCAAATGCTGAATGCCCACCCCTCTTACTCTGCCACCAAGAGCTGCCTTGGCCCAGGTTCCACCCCCCCTCAACCAGGTCCTCCACCAGCGCAATAGCTGCCTTGCTCGGGGGGCGGGGAGAAGGAGACTATGTTAGAGTGAGCTGGACACAATCCAGGAAATAAACTTCTAAGAGCTGCTCTGGATAGCAGTATTCCCAGAAGAGAATTTAGCCCATCTCCGACTTTCAGATGAGACACACAGAGACAGGCAACATTTCCTCTCCCTTTCTCTGGGAGGGCTGCCTCTTTTGGGAAGAAGGGCGGGGGGAGCAGTTGTTTCTGTTCCATAAGCCATTCCAGCCAGGGAGAAAAGGAATTCCCATAGGGAGGCCTGCATCCGTTTGACAGACAAAGGCCTCTCTGCCAGACACGCTCTTTCCCCCCCAGTCAAGTCCTTCGCTTGGCTGGGCCATACAGGAGCATGGCAGGGACTCAGTCAGAGGGCAGAAAGGACACCCCAACGAACACAGGGACATCCCTCCACATACATGCCAAGCCAGACCATGAGAGCCATTCCCAGGTCACCAGAAGCTTCCGGGTGAAAGCCCCCAAAGTGCTGTGAGGCAGGGGATGAGGGGGCCTCTCTGGGGCTTTATGCTTGCAGGCTGCCCAGCAGCAGAGCCGCCTCTCCCCCAAAACTGACCTGGAGACTGGCGGGTGCTGGAAAGGTCAGAGTCCGTGGGAGGCTGGGCAAGGCAGAAGTACGCAGAGTTTTATGCCTCTTCTGGCGATCACAGAGAAGGCTATAGATTGCACTGTAGTGGTCGTAGGCCTCTGTCCTCAATGACTAGGAGGTCACAAAAGCCACATGTCACTCTTCCCTGCCCCCAGAGCACGCCCAGAGTCCTCAAAGGGCCAGTGGCCTTGGTACCTGGAGGGTGCGTTCCTTATCCAGCCCCATCTCAGCCATGGCCAGCAGCACCTCCTCATTCAGGGGCTCCAGCTGCCTCTCGGCTTTCAGATGCTGACATTCTGCTATTAACTAGAAAGCAGAGAACTTTTTCAAGGCTGCTTGTTCCCACAACAAGAAAAAGCACAGATGCGCAAAGGGAGGGGTGGTTGCTGCCTATGAGCTGGCTGAGCAGGACATCACCCCCCCCTTTTTTTTTTTTTGCAGGAAATTTCCCAGCCCAAAAAAGACACAGCATAAAGCTGAGAAATGAGAAAGCAAGGCTGGCAGGGAATCAGCCACAGGGACCCCATTGGTAGGAACAAGCCCCTTCACTCGCCTCCCCCTCCCTTCCCTTGTGGAGAGGCTACAGATGTGCATCTGCTCTAGGGCTGGCCCTACCTTTAAAAATTTTCCTTTATGGTGACCTGGTCCGCCCAATGCGTCTCCCAACCTACCCTGCTTTTATACATGAGCTTCTTATGAAAGTCAGTAAAACGAATTTACTCACTGTACTGAACTCGGGGTCTACTTCCCCAAGCTTCATCCACTTGTGCTTGCAGATCTGCTCCATGGAGAGCCGTTTGCTCGGCTCCAGCACCAGCATGTGGCGGATCAAATGTTCACACTCTGCAAGACAGCAGCCAGGATAAGGCATCGGAATGTCACCAGAGGCCACCTGCAACAGTCTGTTCCTGCATCCCCAAAGGGTTCCTCCTTTACCCTTTGCCCTGTGGCTTGATGTGATCCTAAGAATGTGAACTGGTCCACACCTGGCTCTCCTACTGCAAAGGGGAGGTGCCCCCGAGTCCCTCCTCCACCAGAACCCAAAGGCCAAACGGTGGTGTTGCAGGCCCCAGGAAAGGGGTTCAATACTTGCAGTGAGAACCACCCAGGAAGCAGAGCCCTTTTAAAACAGCCCATCTGCCCACAACTAACAATGGTCCTACATTTGTTCCTCCATTTCCCTCTTCAAGAACCTATGAAGGACAGATACTGAGCCAGCAAAGAGGGAACCTAAGTCCAGCGGGCCATCTTCCACTTTCTCTCCTTCTTCGTGTCACAGAATGTACGGGAGGTTGACCTTCCATCCATCCTGTGTTTTCCCAAATACTTTGCCTGCATTTTTCCCACAAAAATTCCATGAAAAGGGGGGTGACAAAAAATTCCACAAAGTTCTAGACTGGTACCACCATTTTTCTATGGAAGGAAGACTTACTTCTGCCTCTATCAAATCACTGATGTTCATGTAAACATCAGGCCAAAGCAGGAAGGCTCCAGAGTTGGAAACCAGAAGACCAAGAGCAATTGGCCCACCAGTTATACAGTCTCATTCCTGGCAGGAATCAGGTGAACAACAGAAGAAACATGCCTGCTCAGGGCCTCTGTGCTGAAGGCTACTTGTAGGTGAAACCACCACTGTCCCAAAGGTGAGCCCTGCTGGAACATTCCCTGGCGTGATCCTGGGCCTACCTAAGGCTGCCCCTCCCTTGCACAGCAGAAGCTACTGCTTTGCATTAATTACTTTATCAGGCATTAAGACATACAAGTTCTAATTAATCAGACCACAGGAAATCATTTTAACATAGTTCTGCAGTAGACAGAACTAAATTCCTCCCACTGAATGTTAGATAATGGCTTCCTACTCACAGGAAGAGGAAAGGCAAGGGACTGGCAGGGAAGCCTAGATTCCCTTTCATGTGGGGTGGGGGTGGGGGGAGGCAGGCAGGGAAGTCTCACAGACGCTTTTCAAGCTTGTATCAAAATAATTTGCTTTAACATTTTCCCAGGTCAGTCCTTTCCTGGTGTCTGACTTCCTGCAAAACTAAAAAGCATCAGAAAAACTAATCACAGCCTCCTCCCTCTCTCCCATCTGGGGGAGTAGAGTGGGGGAAGACTCTGGGGCCGGCAGGGGTCCTCAACGTAAGCAGCAGCTTGGAAAACATGAACTGGCCTCAACCACCGCCTGACTTTCCCACTGAAGCAAAAGAGACCAAAGAATAGCCATGCACAAAAAGGGCATGCTGTTTCTACAGCAAAATGGGCTATTTGGATGACTCTGAATTTCCACAAATTGTACCCTCTTCTAAGTCTAACTGTGCCCGGTCCTGGGAGGAAACAAAGGCAGTTGCTTCATTCTGCAAGCAAAGGGGCAGCTCCACGTTTCAAATAATGGGTAGGGGGTGTGAGGCGATACCCATTTTGGGGCGCAAGCTTTTTAGGGCCCTGCTGCTTTACCCAATGGACACAAGGAAACAGAACCCGGTTCCTCCAGGGCTCGTCTGCAGGCACCACCCTCCTCCAAACACACTGCCAGGTGGGGCCCGGCCGCTCTCCAGGGCTCCGTACCTGTTGACATGAAGAACGGGATGCGAAACTTCCCACTCAGCACCCTCGCACGCAGGTTCTGCAGTGTGCTCCCGTCGAAGGGCAGGGCCCCACACACCAGGACATAGAGCACCACCCCAAGGCTCTGCAAAAGAAGAGGGCGCTGAGACTCCTTTGTAGGGCAGTGTGGGGGGAGGCCTCGCAGATGGCCAGTGGAGGCCATCCCTAAAAAGGCCAAAGCAAAGATTCCAGCTTTGAATGTTGGCTTATTGAACAGAATGATGCCTTTTGGGCCACTCCCAAGGGAGAAGAGAACGTCTTTGCCACTTGCCCAGATGTCCACTTTCGGCCCATCGTACTCCTTCCCTTCAAAAAGTTCAGGGGCAGCATAAGGGGGACTTCCGCACCAGGTCTTCAATAGCTGGCCAGGAGTGAAGGTATTACTGAATCCAAAATCTGGAAGAGAAGAAGGGCCTGTGATTTCCCACCAAACGGTCTATTTCCTAACGTCCTGTACAGCAGCCCAAGAGCAGGTTGACGCCCAGGGGAAGCCGGGGAGAGCAGCAGGCAGAGCCGTTGTCTGGCAAGAAATGCCACACCTGTGCGTCCACAGGTTTCCACACAACTCTCCACCACAACCCTCAAGGTCCCTGCCCATTGCTCCAAAGTGACTTTCACTTGGTGTATGCTGAATTGAATTTGCCAGTGTAATATCACTGACTGAGTCTGGAGATCCTTTTAGATCTCTTCACTTCTCTTCCTGCTTCAACCAGGTTAAATAATTATATGCTGTCAGGAAATGCAGCCATTCCCCCCAAATCCCACTTTGCTGTCTCTATTGCAAGGACTGTTCCTTAACTCATTCTCCCTTTCTGAACTTTCTTTGCCTCCCAATCCACCTGTTTTGCCAGGAAACCTTTTGAAAGTCCAAATTACAATGGATCACCTGCTATTTTGATGTTCAGATTTGCATCCAGAAGCAAATTCTCAGCCTTCAGGTCTCTGTGGACAATATTGTGACAGTGACAGAAGTGCACTGCTGCTACTATCTGCTTAAACTTCTTCCGAGCCTCTTTTTCAGCCATTCGTCCGTGAGCCACCAGATGATCTGAACGAGACCGGGAGGAATGAAGCTGGTTAGACGTTTATTCTGGGTGAATGATGGGAGATGTAAGGAAGTGACCTACGGGGAAATTTATTAGGCCACCTGTGGAAGGAGACGCTGTGTAACTGCCAGCCAAAACTGCTGGTGGGGCAAACGGCTCCCTTGAAGTTCGGTACAGTTCCTCCCAAATCACCTGCAGCGCAGTCAAGGGAAAGAGCGAGACAGATTTGCAGCAAAGGGCTCTCTCCTACTGGACAAATGTCCCCCGCCGGATGCTCTCGGCCCAGCCCCAAGGCTGCCTACTGGCCCTTCAGGCACTGGAGCTGCCTCTGTCTAACCCGACAGCTTCAGAGGCTCCTTAGCATGACCAGGTTCGGCCTTGCCAAGGCTTTTGGGGAGAAGAGGGAGTGCCGAAAAGAAACCTTTCTACCCAAGATGGATGGCCTCACAAGGCATGGGTGTAATTTTAGATCTCCCCCCCCAGGAGAAACAATAGCACCCAAGCTGCTCCATTTAGCGTGCCATGGGTCAGCAAAAGCTGCCATTGTGATGCAAGCCGTGCCTTGCACAGAGTGAAGGAGATTGTGGGAAATACATGGGAGACGTATCCTGGATCACCCGCAGTCTGGGGCCCTAACCCTACCTAACCACTCAAACAGCTCCCCACCCACTCTGATGCTTGTTCCTACCATAATCAGAACTTCTTTGGAATGGCAGAGCACATTCAGTCTGCCTGCCTAAGGGGAAGGAGAGCTGGGCAAAGCATGGCAGGTGAGGAAGGGCATCCTCCACATTAGAGGGGTTGGGAGAAGGGGGGCTGGGAGGGTCCCACAGAACCAGGGAGAGCAGCGTGCAGAGACAGCCAGGAAGAGAACGGCAGCTCTGGCTTTCCTGGACCTGTGGGAGCCAGCTAGGCCCTGGGGCTGGCAGCAGGAAGAGGATGCCCCGGCCACCGAGATGCCTGGGCTTTCCTGGGCTCTTCATCTTGGCAACTTGCCCTGCAAAGAGGGGCGTTACTTTCGGCTCTCAAAAGCCTCCGCACAGCCGCAGAGCCCCTCCCAAGAGGCTGCTGCCAAAATGGGACTTAATGTGATCCCAGATGAGAGTGTTAAAATACATAGGGAGTACCCACAGCAAATGGGTTTGATTATAATATATTTTAATATTTAAACTTTAATTTGGTTTTTGCCCTGGCCCTGCTTGCTGTTTGGAATCCAATGCAGTAACACACGAAGGCCAAGCACAACTCTGGCCCAAGAAAAGGAGGGCCCTTTGGGTGGTCAGGGTCCAGGGTGGAGTCTCTTTTTATGGTCTGCAGTCCCCTTGGCTCTTCCGTAGCCACTGCAACTGCGTCCTATTAAAAATAAATCTGCCCAAGAAAGGAACGGGCCTGGATGGCCCCATTTCTGCATCTAACCTGGCTTGCCAGATGATTTGTAGTGCTCTGGGAAACTCAGCAGGACAGCCCGGTGGGTCTGCTTGGGTTGCCCAGGGGAAATTCTAGCTACTTTGGCAACTGACCTGCACCAAAGGTCAACATCCTGCACCTGCTGTCACTTTCCCAAGTCTTCACATTTTGAGTCCTTTGTTGTGACGAGCCCCCTCAGAATTATCCCGCTTCCTTTTCTTTTATCCAAATGCACCAGAGCTCACCAATCTTTCTTTCACAGCAATGATGCAGCAGTGGAAATTTCCAACACCACAGAGCATCAGCCAAAAGGTCAGCAAAAGGGCCAGCTTTTACTTATCAGAGTTGAGCAAGTATATTATTCGGTCGAATAAGGCAAACAACGAACTTACCAAATATCTCCCCTCCACTTGCATACTCGGTTACCAGGTAGATCATTCGCTCCGTTTCCATGACCTGCACGAGGACAAAGCAGCCGCTGATACGGACAGGCTCAGGGCAAAACACCCTCCGCCAACTGGGCTTCTTTTTTGGGGGGGATCCACAGGATTCCCCGTGGTCGAGGCACCAAAGGGTCCACAGACTGATGTTTTACGGTTATCTTTTACGCCCCACCAAAACTGTTTCACTCCGAAATCATTATATTCATCTGAACCAGCAAGAGGCCTACTGATGGTGGGGGCCCAAAGGCCCAGGAAGCCTTGTAGATTCCAAGAGCCCCCCCCCACCCCAGTGACATCCAGAGGTTCCCTTTGGATTGAAAGGAGCCCAAAGGTTGGAGGCACCTCCTGCCCCCACCCACAGTCTTTACCAACATGCTGCCTGTCCCTGTCTCAGTTACTCAGCCGCCAGACCTGATACAATCGGATGATGTGAGGGTGGCACAGCATCTTCATCACTTGGACCTCTCGAAAAATCTTCTTGAGGTTCTCTTCATCCAGCTGAGTTTTATCAATGATCTTTATTGCGACCTGAAAGGGCAAAAATGAGAGTAGTCATTATGAAACCCAATCTCAGAATAGGAAAGGTGGAAGAGGAGAATTACTGCTTCTTGCCGTCTGATTCATTCTGACAGCAAGAAAAATGATTGGTCTATGGAAGTGAATGATTTATTTCTAATTCTGAATAACGTGCCAAGGTTGGCCCAAAAACCCTAATATGTATGACCAGTGACTTTCTATAAACTGTGCTCTGAATGGTAGTTTTCCATGAATTTACTATTTTGAGGAAGATCATGCAAATTTCATGCAAGATCATGCAAAGTTCCAGCCCTTGTGCCTCCGTCCTGTCTCTGTTGTCAACAAACAACCCTTCAGCCTTGCTTCCCCTTCAAAGGGTGGGCTCTTATTCCCCTGATTATCAGTTTTGTGCTCAGAAGATCTCTGAGCACCACTTGCAGAATATGGGTTGCCAAATGCTCCCTTTTCTTCTACTGATGCCACCTCTCTCAGCCCAGCCTACCTCACAAGGTTGTTTTCAGGGGGGAAATGGGGAGGGTAAATACAAGGTGCATTGACCAGAGCTCCGAAAGGAAAGCTGAGATCCAACATAACATAAAAATAGTAAAATAAACTCTCAAAGGCCACCCGTGTCTAAGTTCTTGCAAATCCCAATTCTTCAGCCCACCTCCTTGCCCAGTCCAGCAACAACTCTGCAGGCAGCTGTGGGAACAGAGGCCGGAAGCCCAGGAGAGGAATCGCTATTAATCAGGCTGCTGGCTGTTCTCCTCACTGTTGCTGCTTTCTCTACTGTTTTCCACGGGGTCTGTCCCACTCCATGCCAGCAGATTCTTGCTGAGACATTCGCTCCAGTGTTTGAAGCCACCTACTTTCCTGCCTGGGTATCTGTCACCATGGAGATTGCAATTCCACACGAAGCCCAAATCTGTCCCACTTTCCTGGTGCAAATGTTGGGAGCAAGAAGGTCAGGAACTGTCTGCTTTGCTGTTCAGCCAGCAAAATAGTTTACCATCAGCTCTTTCTTCCTACTTAAGCCTCTTGCAGCAGCTGTCCCAGAATGGTGCATAATCTCTCTTGCCTCCCTGCTCAGGGCTTTCATGATTACATGGCCCTTTTCAGGGGAAGAGAAATCCTTTCCTTGCTGCTCCAGAAACACAAGAACAGAGGACAGCTCTGCTCACTGGAGAAGGAAGAGCAGAGCTGGAAAAAACTTGTTTAGTCAGGAATCACCCGAGGAAGGTTCAGCACATGAACCTGCGGTGCACGGAAGGTTTACACACAGGGGATGCGGTGTCTGGAGCCCCTCCAAGAAAGCTCTGTGACTGAGTAGGTATGCTTTCACCGTGAAGGCTTCATCTGGAAGTGTGCCACAATATAACTTAATATGCTTTGCTAGTGCTTAAAAAAACCAAGAAGATAATCACTGAGTTAATCACTGGGTAGTTGACATCCTGACCAAAATTATAGGCTTTCTGTGCAGAGCTTTTGGAAATCAAGATCACTCTAACATGACTTTACTTAATTATCTATCCATCTAATTTACACCCTGCCTTCTCTCTTGGCAAAACAGCAAAAGAAGACAATAAAGGGAAATCCTTCAGTCCAAATATTAAACACCTTTTGAAACTCTGACTACAGGGATAACACTGATCAATCTTCCCACTGGATTGATAGCCAGTTCATAAACCCTCATATCAGCAATCCGAGACAGTAAACCAGCAGCACAACGATGAAGAATCTCTCTTGCTGCCTCCTCCTGGCTCCATTCCTTCCTTCCTTCCACACAGTGAGGCTCCAAGTTTTTGGCCAGCTGCTTAATTCAAATGCCTGTCTGCTTCTTTGCACCATGTCGATCTTTGCAAAGCTGCATCTGCAAACATCACCCAGAATGGTCAGGAAGGCCCAGCATGTCCGGGCCATCTGTTCCCTGTCTTTGCGTGGGCAGCCACCAGGTGGCACTGCTGATACCTCCACGGCAAGAATGACCCCCTGAACTCTCCAGCAGAGGCCTCCCTCCCTCCCTCCGCCTGGCGCCCTCGCCTGGGCTCCCAGCTCCCGGGCCAGGAAGCCCGCTAGATAAGGAGCACTGCCCGGCTCTTCTCACATTTGGGTCACATCAGGCAGCCACCCTAAAAACCATGAACAATCTAACAATCTTTGGGTGCCTTTGTTGGGACTGCGCCCCAAAGCAGCCTGGCCAAAGAAGTTGGGGTTCTTCCTGATCCGAGTTCTCCAGGCAAAACTCAACTCAATCTAGACACACAGTATGACATCACGGGATTTAAATTTAGTAAGCGGCAATCAACGACGGTCTCTGCCAAATGGCAGGATGCCCATTTCTGTGCCACAGTCCAATCTTGGCATGACGGGAAATGGTCCAGGAGGGCATATGAAGCTCACAGTGGCAACAGATGGCAACTGGGAGTTCTGAGTAGTGATCTGGGCAGCACTAGATATTATATCTTGCATTATATATGGACATATATAGGAGAGAGAGAGAGAGAGAGAACCTTGCCTACCCTACAAGGTTCCATCCAAAAAAGGTGCTGAACTCCGTTCTGGGTGTTCTATGACAAAAAAAGCCCTGCATACATGTATGTATGTATGTATGTATGTATGTATGTATGT